GGGGGGGGAGGGATTTAATGTTTCTTAAATTAATTTTTATTATTTTTCAAATTCCCTCAAAGAATGAGGCAAACTGTTCCATAATTTAGTATACATAGTGCTGTTAATTAATTATTTGATACTTGTAATTTAATGTATTCTTTAATTCCCCCCCCTCCCGCATTTTCTTTTACAACAAACGCTTTGATATAATCCTAAACATCCAAAAAAAGACATAACCTCCAAAAATAGATGCGTAATATTTTCTGGACTCGTGCGTCATTCAATTGTCCAACATCTCTAGAATGGGCCCTTGTTTGACTTGAGATTTACGCGCAGTCTGGTAGATTTTGGTCTTCTCGGCGGAATCCCCGATTTAGCATTTCGTCACATCCATCTATAGAAACATAAATACTCTGTTATCCCCTGACGGTCTGCCCTGGTGGTCTGCCCCAGAGGTCTGAATGGGCTTTTAGCTCGATTGCCGTTTGTTTGTTTGTTGTTGTTGTTGGCGTTTTGTTGTTTTTTTTTTGTTTTTTTTTGTTTTTTTTTTTTTTTTTTTTTAATTGGACACATGAAAAAAAATATATATTTTTTTTTTTTAAAAAATAGAACAAAAAAGTTGTAACGACAACAACAACAAAAAAAGTTGTATTATAATAACTGGTCGCAATGGGTATGAAAATTGTAATTTTGTTGAAAAACCGGATATAAAGTAAAGCTAAGACATTTAAAAACAATGTTTGTTATTGTTGGGTTTTTTTGCTGGGGTTTTTTTTCATTAAANCCCCGGGGGGGGGGTCTCTATTATAATTATTTTATAACAATTATGTTGTGCAGCTTTGTAATAATATTTTTTTTTTTTAATTTTAAATTACCAACACTTCCGTCTATGTTGTAACATAGAAAAATATGTACATGAGAATGGCATCATTTTTTTTTTTTGCCGGTATTTAGCCCACGTGAGACTCTTATGTTGAGCCTACTGCCTGTGCGTCCGTGAACGTTGGATTGCGAACCAGGCAAACTTTAAGATGAGCAGCACCAAGAAAAACAAATTATGTCTACGCGAAGACCCCGGTTGTGGACTACTGCTCACTGCTAGCGGACGGTTAACACTTGAACGATGGTTTGCGACCAAATTGAACTCCCCCAAAAAATGCTACCACACCTTGACCCCTTCACCTCCTCTCCCCCCCCCCAAATCGCCCCACTCCCCACACAAACATGAGGGACACTTTTATTCCCCATCCGCCGATGCCACCTGACATCCCGTCCAAAATATCCCAATAGCCAAATCTTTAAAATACCCCAAAAGCAAAATCTTTTGGAAGTGGAATTTGCAGCCCAACCCCCCCCCCCCAACCTTCGAACCCCGCCCACCCCCATTTACCAATCCCTGAGCTTTTGTCTCGAACACGTAACAATAGTAACGGCAAACAAATGCAAGAGGCATCCATTAGCATTATTGTGTCGTGGTGGCTGGTTGGTAGCGACTGGAGAGAGAAAGGTGGGGGGGGGGGCTCATCTTTAGCTCCAATTGTTGGAGGTTGTTGACCTCGGGCTGCTTGGTCAGACTGTGGATCGACTTCATGTGACGCCAGTGGTTTGAAGTTGTTAGAGTTGTTGGTGAGGTTGGAAACAGAGGTGAGGATTGGTGGGGTCATGGGGCGTGAGATTGCTCAGTGAAGTGAGATTGCTCAGGAAGTGAAGTGAGATTGCTCGGGAAGTGAAGTGAGATTGCTCGGGAAGTGAAGTGAGATTGCTCGGGAAGTGAAGTGAGATTACTCGGGAAGTGAAGTGAGATTGCTCGGGAAGTGAAGTAAGATTGCTCGGGAAGTGAAGTGAGATTGCTCGGGAAGTGAAGTGAGATTGCTCGGGAAGTGAAGTGAGATTGCTCGGGAAGTGAAGTGAGATTGCTCGGGAAGTGAAGTGAGATTGCTCGGGAAGTGAAGTGAGATTGCGCGGGAAGTGAAGTGAGATTGCTCGGGAAGTGAAGTGAGATTGCTCGGGAAGTGAAGTGAGATTGCTCGGGAAGTGAAGTAAGATTGCTCGGGAAGTGAAGTGAGATTGCTCGGGAAGTGAAGTGAGGTTGCGCGGGAAGTGAAGTGAGATTGCTCGGGAAGTGAAGTGAGATTGCTCGGGAAGTGAAATGAGATTGCTCGGGAAGTTAAGTGAGATTGCTCGGGAAGGGAAGTGAGATTGCGCGGGAAGTGAAGTGAGGTTGCCGGGGAAAGGACGTGAGAGTAGTGAGGCAAAAATAGGTGAGATTGATTGGAAAGTAAATGGAGATTGGTGGGGAACAGGGGTTAGATTGCTGAGGAAACGAAGCGAGACTTCATGGGTAAAGCAGTGAGATTGTTAGAGAAAAGAAGTGGGATATCCGGGGAAAAGAAGTGGGATTGCTGGAGAAAAGAAGTGATAGTTCTGAGGAAAAGAAGACATTTCTGTTGAAAATAAATGGGATTGCTGGAGAAAGAATTGAGTGGTGACTAAATGAAGACTAAAACACTGGGGATGCCCAGTTTTCTCCACATTGCAGGTTTATGTTGCGCAGAGTTGGGTGCGGTTGGGGAGTGGGGGGGGTGTATAACTCACAGCCATAAAAGAGGAAAGTCAGCGTACTTCAACGTCTTCCTATTATATAAGAAACACAAGGTCAAGAAATTGTGTCGAAAAACGTCTTTCCAAGTAAACGAGTTTTGACACACACCTTTTTGGTACATGACGTAAAATGTAACACGTTTCGTACCACCACTTGAACCACCATCAACTATGGGACTGTTCATTGATTTTTGCAGTGACGCAGCCCTACACTTGTGTTTCAATCTCGCTCCATGTTTGAGACTCTCGTTGATCGACCTCTGTTTTATTATTAACTTCCCCGGGCCGTTCTGAGTTAATGACGACAATCGACTCTCTAATGTGACCCTTAACCTATCGGCCGGCGGGTCGCTAATGGCCGCCGCGCGCGATTTCATTCGTTAGCGCCACCTCGCGTGACGAATTGCCGTAAGGGGAGACAAGAGAGCGAAGTCAAATTGCTTCTGAAGCGGTGCCGGTCCCATGAGATGAAACCCGGTACAGAGCGAAGCTGAGAGTTAATAGCGGTAAGGCTAGACTGCGCATGCGAGTGGAGACTGTAAGGTTATGGCGAAGGGGAAATCTATACTTGTCTTTAAGATGGGTTTTTTTTTCAAATATATTATTTTTTTATAGTGATTGAGGATGGACTTGCCTGAACTAATGTTATACAATCAAACTAAGTTAAGTCCCGGATAGTGCCTGCAGAAATGTTACTTGGAATCTTGAATTAAATATACGACCTTCAACCCTGGGGCCGAATACCACCGTTCGCTGGAATAGCGTTTGATCGTTGATGTAACAACGTGATTATGTAAAAGACTTTGGTACCACATTTTAATAACAAATTATATTGTGTCCATGTGAGGACCAGTTCAAATAAATGGTGCGAGATCTGAACTAATGGTAAAGAGATTTGAACTAATGGTAAAGAGATCTGAACTAATGGTAAAGAGATCTGAACTAATGGTAAAATTCACTTTGAGAGATCTGAATAGTTGGTAATATTGACTTTACTTGAGAGATCTGAATTAGTTGGTAAAATTGACTTTACTTGAGAGATCTGAACTCATTGGTTAAATTGACTTTTCTTGAGAGATCTTAACTAATTGGTAAAATTCACTTTACTTGAGAGATCTGAACTCATTGGTTAAATTGACTTTTCTTGAGAGATCTTAACTAATTGGTAAAATTCACTTTACTTGAGAGATCTGAACTCATTGGTTAAATTGACTTTTCTTGAGAGATATGAACTAATTGGTAAAATTGACTTTACTTGAGAGATCTTAACTAATTGGTAAAATTGACTTTACTTGAGAGATCTGAACTCATTGGTTAAATTGACTTTTCTTGAGAGATATGAACTAATTGGTAAAATTGACTTTACTTGAGAGATCTTAACTAATTGGTAAAATTGACTTTACTTGAGAGATCTGAACTCATTGGTTAAATTGACTTTTCTTGAGAGATATGAACTAATTGGTAAAATTGACTTTACTTGAGAGATCTTAACTAATTGGTAAAATTGACTTTACTTGAGAGATCTGAACTCATTGGTTAAATTGACTTTTCTTGAGAGATATGAACTAATTGGTAAAATTGACTTTACTTGAGAGATCTTAACTAATTGGTAAAATTGACTTTACTTGAGAGATCTGAACTCATTGGTTAAATTGACTTTTCTTGAGAGATATGAACTAATTGGTAAAATTGACTTTACTTGAGAGATCTTAACTAATTGGTAAAATTGACTTTACTTGAGAGATCTGAACTCATTGGTTAAATTGACTTTTCTTGAGAGATATGAACTAATTGGTAAAATTGACTTTACTTGAGAGATCTTAACTAATTGGTAAAATTGACTTTACTTGAGAGATCTTAACTAATTGGTAAAATTGACTTTACTTGAGAGATCTGAACTCATTGGTTAAATTGACTTTTCTTGAGAGATATGAACTAATTGGTAAAATTGACTTTTCTTGAGAGATCTTAACTAATTGGTAAAATTGACTTTACTTGAGAGATCTGAACTAATTGGTAAAATTCATTTACTTGAGAGATCTGAACTAATTGGTAAAATTCACTTTACTTGAGAGATCTGAACTACACTTTACACACACAGATAAAAATACAAATAACACAAAAATCATCACGAGTTAAATAATTACTTTATTACATGTTTATCATTTCATTTCATTATATAGTGAGATTGTTGGTTGTTGTTTACCATCAATATAATGAGATTTCCAACATTATTGGACAGAACTGTGGAGGGGTCTTGTCAGGTAGTGACATGCAAGGTCCATCACTTGAAGACAGAAAAGTTTTAAGTGACCAAACCCACCCACCCCACCCCAAGCTGTACACAAAACATTTTATGGAGACAGGCCAGGCTGAAGCAGATTTCACCCCCCCCCCCCCAACCAAACCAAAACAAGCCCTTTAAACCAAATGGCTATAATCACTGAGCAGGATGAAATAATTTTGCCAAATAAATCAAATGCAATAACTATTCAAACCATCTGCAGGGTTTCAAACCATCTGCAGGGGCTCAAACCATCTGCAGGGTCTCAAACCATCTGCAGGGTCTCAAACCATCTGCAGGGGCTCAAACCATCTGCAGGGTCCCCGTCAAGCTGGCAATGCTGGACATTAACTTGAGTAGCTTTTTCTTCTCTTCAACTTTCACATTTTTCACGTCATGCCCAGGTTTCCCCTGCTTCACCAACAACGTCTCATCGTTCAGAGTTTTACTCAAAGCATCTTCGTGGTCTTTATCTTCAGCTCCGGCCCCCTCCACCGTCGTCTCTCCTTTGTCAGCCTTGTGGGGCTGGGTCTCAGGCTTTGACGACTTCTTGTTTGGTTGCCTGGCGACCAGACCGATCGCCACACCTCTGCTTTTCAGTAGGTCTTCAGCTGCCCTTGCCGTCATTTCTTCTTGTAATTTTTTTGCCGTGTGATACAGGAGAAGACAGGTCTCATTGGGTGAGAGATTCAGCAGACGCAATGCATCTGCATTATCTCCCATGGGGTGTTGGCTTGAGAATGAATGATCTTGATTTGTGGGCGTGTGGGAAATTTTGTGCATTCCATCTTGGGTTTCAGAATCCCCTGACCTTGAAATCATTGAATGTAGGACTTCCAGAATCTTCGTCAAACTGTCCAAAGAGGAAACATTGCTAAAAAGAAAAAAGACCCCAAAAAAATTTATTATTGATTGATTATTTTTTTGGCTTCAAAATGTTATGTTATGTGGCCCTGGCCTCTCTCAGAGGGTATCAGGCACTGCATTTTTTTTTTTTTTTTTTTTACTCAAAAAGATGAATAAGATATTCTAATAACTAATCTTATCCGTCCCATCATTTATTAGAATAATAAACTCACTCAAACTTAAGAAAACAAGTTTTGTACGAATTTATTATTGATTGATTATTTTTTTGGCTTCAAAATGTTATGTTATGTGGCCCTGGCCTCTCTCAGAGGGTATCAGGCACTGCATTTTTTTTTTTTTTTTTTTACTCAAAAAGATGAATAAGATATTCTAATAACTAATCTTATCCGTCCCATCATTTATTAGAATAATAAACTCACTCAAACTTAAGAAAACAAGTTTTGTACGAGTTAAAACAAAATTCACAGTGATTTTCATCAAATGAAATCAAAAAATTTAATTAAAACCACTTAACCTCCATTTAAAAAATTGTACAAAAATGTAATAAAATAATACAGTGAAGTATAGTGATCCTGCATTTCAACATGGAGTGTTGAATATGATGGCTTACTTGCATTGAGCTAAAAAAAAATTTGTTATCAAGTTGATACTTAAAAAAAGGGTATTAGTTTTTCGCTGTTGTTTTTTTTTTTATCCATCTTACCTCAGGTGGCAAATCAAATTTTTCACAATGAAGCCCATCTCAACCTGTGTTGACTTCGGGACAGATGTCGCCCTGGGACTCGGCTGCTGATGGACCAATTCATCCTTCTTTCCAACCACTGAGTCTTCTCTTTTCTCTGTCTGAGCTTCTTCTGTTCCTGACATGTCCTCTTCCTCTGAGCTCTCATTACTGTCCTCCTCATCGCTGCTCTCTCCATCCTCCTCACTGCTCTCTCCATCCTCCTCACTGCTCTCTCCATTCTCTTCACTGTTCTCTCCATCTTCCTCACGGTTCTCTCCATTCACCTCGCTGCTCTCTCCCTCCCTCTTCTCTACTTTAGCTGGGACTTTGTTGGCCTTCTTCGTTTTATCTTTAATGGATGCCTTCCTGCCCACTGCTTTGCTCTCATCCAGACTAACATTCACATTCAACACACTGCTGTCGTTCAGTGATGATTGGTTCCGTTGGGAGCCAACGACGTATTTTGATGTTGTCAAACTGATCCAGAGAGTGTGAACAATGTCACAAACAAGATCAGTGTGCTGTGGTCGATAATCCCTGTGGTGATAAATTGTTGTTTTTTTCTTTAAAATTGGTTAAGGTAAGGGGCATAACTCTAGTTATTCTGAGAATGAAATCTTCGAGCAAACACGTTTTACAAAGGTACTTTTAAATAAATTTTACTAAGATACTTTTAAAAAATTTTTACTATGATACTGTTAAATAAATATTACTAAGATACTGTTAAATAAGTTTTATTAAGATACTGTTAAATAAGCTTTACTAAGAAATTGTTGAATATGATTTACTAAGATAATGTTAAATAAGAGATAAGTTTTACTGATATACTGTTAAATAAGCTTTACTAAGATACAGTTAAATAAATTTTATTAAGATACTGTTAAATAAGTTTTAGTAAGATACTGTTAAATAAGCTTTACTAAGATACTGTTAAATAAGTTTAACTAAAATGCTGTTAAATAAGTCTTAAATGTAAAACCAAGTTTGTTCTAACATACAAATTTACTTTCAACCCTTGTTAACTATTATTTTAACTAATCCTAGTATCACAAAATTATGAGAAAGAGATCAATACGCAGATGTTGTGCTTAACTTTTTTTTTTCCCTTTCCATATTATTTACAATACCCCTTGGGAACTTAACCACAGCAGAATTTTAAAACCCATTACATTCTTTTCAACAACAACAAAAACAACTTCACATTACCAGGCATTAAAAAACAACAAAAAAATGTTAATATTAGTTTAACATTATTTAAACGTACAAATTTTTCACCACTCCGAGTAGCCAAGACACCAGTCCATGATTCTTCACTAAGTCAACAGCAACAAATTTCTCCTTGCAGGCATTTCTTAGAGCTGAAAGAATCAACCCCTGATCGAAAAAAAGATCAAAAGAATGAAATTCACTCATGGGTTTGGTGCAGAAAAACTGAATATACAATAGAGGCATTGACATTTAGAAGATAAAAGAAATGAGCTAAGGTATTGATTTTCTAGCCATTGTGCTAAATGACAAGCAGCTTAGAAAGAATGAAGGCTAAAATTTATTTTTAAATTCATTTTCCAGTGCCGTCCAATAACTTAATTAAAGCAAATGTGGCCAGAGGCTGCCAACTTCCTTATGGCTTCCCTTGGAGATAAGCCACCACATTGAAGCGTACGTGGCCCACTCATTGAATAATACCACACACACACCCCAAGATAGGAAAATAATTTGACAGTTCAGTTCATTCCATTAAACAACCAATTGGACATTCTACAATAAAAAAATGTAATGATGCCAAAACCAGCAGGAATGAAAGGGTTCAATGATCATAACCCTTTCATTACAGCAGGTTTTGGGGGCATCAATTTTTGCTGGCTCAGCAAATTAAAAATTTAAAGAAGAAACTTCCTGTATTCTTCATTCTCAATCCGTTGTTGATCATTAACTTCTCAATAGATTAACCAATAAAGAAATGTATGGCATTGAAATATGACGTCGGCCGTGAAGTCCTCGGTATTTCAGAAAAGTTCTTTGCCTCTTTGTTATGCCGACAATGTGACGTCCTGGGTAATTAAAATTGGGTGATCGTGACATCGCCTCGACATCATCAGTAAAAAAAAGGTTAAACCACCAGATGCCCACATCATTTTGATGTTCAAAAGACAAGACACAATACATATATATATATATTATTAGTATTGTCTCTAGGTAAAATTTGCCATTTAATCAGTTAAAGACCCACAAGTCAAATGCCCCCAGCTTTCAACCCATGTTTAATGCATGCTATGCAGACTCCTTGCAGGCCATTTTGTGACAAGCAATGTTTGAAGCGTGTCATGTTGCCAGACATGTCTATTTATTTCTTAATATGATTTCATAAAGTGTTAGGTGAGGGGTGGATGAAGGTCGTGGTGGGTGAGAGAGAGTGATTAAGCAGCCACAACACTCATTCTCAAGGTGCTGAAATGATATCATGTGTGTGTCTTTGCCAATGCTGCAATACTTGTACCTGTGAGTGGACGTCACTTAGAACAGAGTCGTGGAAACACATGAGAATTTTAAAGATGTGCTTCTTCTGGTACAGCCAGTAGTCTGCCGTCTCTCTCATGCCGTCACACAAAAGGGACAGCACCCAGTTTCTCTCTTGCTTGTACTGAAGATATACCAAAAAAAACTACAAGTTTAACTAAATATACACACAATTCATTACAAAAATATTAACATACCATTTATCAAGTACACAGTCAATATGAAGACTTTGGTACAATTATTTGGAATATTGTACAACAGCAGGTGACCCATTGGCCTAGAGCAGTGGTGGGCTACCTTGTCTTTGAGTGCTGTGCCATTTTTATAACTTGCATCTGTTAAGATGATATATTGAGAACCGCATGTTATTATAGATTAGTAAACAGAGCCACAACTATTCCCTCAAAGATGGAGCCACTAGAATCCGGCAAATGGCATGTCCTTCTTTATCCTAAGAAAAGAAACTTTTATTCTTTCAGCCCTGCTGGTAGTTTATTTATTGATTTTCACATAGTCATTTGTTCTACTTCTTGCCAATATTGACAAAAAACTCACCTGTACACCTGAACTGAAGAGCACCTGATAAAACTCACCTGTACACCTGAACTATAGAACAGCTTATAAAACTCTGGAACATTGGACAAATCCATTTCAGGTTTAGCAACGAGGAAACGGAAGATGGGCATGTACAGGGGATCAGCTGCAGAGTAGAAAGTTTGGCTCTGTTAACAATGATATCTTGTGAAAACAGGTGCTTAATATAGCGTTCATGTGAACAGAGTGATGAAAAGATTAAAAAAATGAGTTGGACAATCAAAGAGAAAACAATTTTAAAAACCAATTAAAGCCAGAAGCTCAGACTATATTTCAAACTGTTATTTTTTATTATTTTTTTTTAAAATCAAATTAAGTTTTTTTAATACTTTATAACACATTATGTGCTTTGGTTCGTTGGATTTAATGAATACATTCTTCCTTGACACACAACTCCTTTTTTAAATGTATGCTTTTAACATATTAAAAATTATTTACATTACACAAACTGGCACAGAGAAGAAATAAAATGAATATTTCATTATTAACGCAAATGTTTCCTTGGTACTTAAAAAACACATTGATTATTTTGACTCCAATTTCAAAAGTAATAATGGTTGACAAAAGTGGACACGTATTAATTATTACATAAAATCAAATCAGAAAGAAGGCAATTATTTTAGGAATATTTTTTTATAAATCCTCTCTATTTCTTTTAACTGACTGCGTCATTAAAAAGCAAATGTTTCATACATGAATTGGTACTTAAAACACATTTATTATTCTGATTCCAATTTCACAACAGTGAACTAAAGTGGAGACATATTTAATTATATATTATTTTTTTTTAATAAATCTTCACTATTTCTTTTAACAGAGATCACTATATTAATATAAAAATGATACGATTTTTGTAAGTCAGCACCGACCTGGATACATAAAGAGTTTCACAACTCTGGCAAAGAAAAGGGCCACGACAAATGACAGCTTCTGTCCATCCTTGACCCGGCTGGCATTCAAGAGGTCAAGCATGAAGTTGACCTCCACCCTCTCCTGCAACCTAGAGCCGTCCGAATGTAGGTAGAAGTCATTCAGGGCTTGGTATGCCAGCAGACGGTTTGTTGCATCATGGCTGCTCAAGGCAATGAGGAGATAACTAAGACAGCCGCGTTCAACAAACATTCGCAGTGGTACAAGTTTGTCTGAAAAATGGTAAAAATATAAATAAAATTGTGAAATAGTTTGTTTTTTTTTTTAGCTAAGCTCATGAGTAGGACACAACAATTCCTTATTGCTTGACTTATTTTGTAAACATATAAATGTTAATAATCCACATCACACGGTTCTTGCAATAACTTTTTTATCGATTTATGATTTGGTCTTTAAAGCCTTTCAGCTTCTTTCTTGATTGGAAGTATGGATGTGCAGTATTAAAAAAATTCACTTAAAATAATTCCTCAGACTTGCCTGGTGAGAGAATCTGCACAAAAAGACGCAACAAAAAATTTGGGTCGTAGCACTCAGGCTTTGACTTGAAGTCGCTTGCATCAAGAATCCGGGAACTCTGTGAGAACCAATTTTTTTTTTTTTTAAAGTCAAAGAAATGTAGCCAATAGAAACATATCATGTACATCTCACAGAAAAATTTGTTTCTCGTTTCATCATAAATGGACAACAAGACAACAAATTAACTGACCAGAAATGCTCTCCTGACAGGGAAGTTTAGAACTGAGTCCTGCAAGCACGCTGGGTCGATTTGTTCCAGCACGGACTTGACTGAGGCTTCCTTGTCCAGACTTGGGCCCAGCACCTGGGAAACTGTGTCATGTTCCAGGGCTGACTTCCCCCACAGAGTTGGACTGGACAGGATGGGGGGGGGGGGAAGAAATGACAGGATTTATTTTTATGAAGATAGAAACAAATCCAACTATATGGGGGGTGATTTTAGTTATTCAAAGCTCATGCCTAGGGTGTATTTTAGAATAAACACAACTTGGGCCCAGGACCTGGGAAACTGGGTCATGTTCCAGGGCTGACTTCCCCCACAGAGTTGGACTGGACAGGATGGGGGGGGGGGGAAGAAATGACAGGATTTATTTTTATGAAGATAGAAACCAATCCAACTATATGAGGGGTGATTTTAGTTATTCAAAGCTCATGTCTAGGGTGTATTTTAGAATAAACACAGATCTTCCCTCTAGTTGTTTATATTATTTTTCCTCAACAACTCACCATTCAAATTTCTTCTCAGAATCTTGGCTACATTTTTCAATCATAATGAGCAGTCTTTGATCTATAAAAAAAAAATGCAATGTTAACATTTTTAATGACATTTAACCAAAAAGTAGCAATGCTGATGAATTTGGGCGATTTAAAATAAATTTGAGGGACAAACATGGTGAATCTGAATAAAGATAAACATTTTTGTTTTCAATTTTAGCGGTGGACCTTGAATTCTAATACCATGTTACCAAAATTGAAATGGAGAATACTGGAGAACAATTTTTTTTCATCTCTTATAATAATACTTTAAATCAAATAGAATGTGAATAATTTTTTCAAACGAAAACTATTTCACTCACCTGCTTTAGAAAGTTTGGCACCATACGCACCAACAAAAACTTTACTGAGCTGTGACTTGTAAACAGAAGGGTCAAGGTCACCAAGGGCATACAATAAGTCAATCAGCTCATCTAGAAAAAATATAAAGAAAAAGTTTTGTTTAAATTGAATTTCTAACCAAGTATGAATAAACACAAAGTTAATACTAAAAAAAAATATCTGACATTAAGCATTCATTATCTAATCAATTTAGTTACACTAATACTAATAAAATAATTGATGCCTGAGCTCCCATCATGAAAGTCTAAGTCAATGGGAAATAACCCACTACAAAGAAATGACTATTTGTTTAATTGCAGATTTTTTTGCAGTTCTTTAATGGCACACACATATATAGACAGAAAATCTGAAAATTCAGAATCATGACAAAAAAATATTTATCTAATTCCAGAAATGGGGAGTGAAGCTGGGAGGGGAGAGAAAAGGGGGCTCTCTTTCATCAAAGTCCAGCCAAGGTATTTTCTACTAATAAACTGAGAGTCCCAGCTGACCTTTAGCCAACAGGTTCTCCTGTGACATCATGACACTGAGGAATGCTGTGTGGCTGACACACATTTGAAACATGGTTTGTGCATTGATGTGAGGTCTGGTGACTGTGGAGGGCCCTGTTGCAGTTTTGTGATCTGAATCCAGGGCATACACACGTGGCACCAGGCAGGACAAAAGTTTCAGCAGCTTGGGATTGGTGTACAAGTGCCTGAAATGACAACAAAAATGTATAAAGGCCTTGTATAACAGTTTCAAATGCAAAATAATCTGTAAATCCGCAGCAAGCATGAAACACATACTGCAACTGACACCAACTATTTCCAGTACTATATACATAGAATTTATTTGCTCAAATTAATGTTTCTACGGGTCTAATTTTCTTAGCTAAAGAAATGTTTCTTACATTATATATTGATTTTAAGTAATAAAAGTAATAGCCATAGTCAACACAAATTAGCCTCTCATGAATCAGAGCCGATCTAAACAATAGCCACAGTCAACATGACACAAATTAGCTTTTCATGTATCAGAGCCAATCTAAACAATAGCCACATTCAACCAACACAAATCAGCCTCTCATGTATCAGAGCCAATCTCAGAAGAATTTTCTGAGTTTTATGCATTGAATTAAAACAGTGGTTCTCAACCTTCCTAAAGCCGCGACCCTTTAATGCAGTGCCTTATGTTGTGGCGACCCCCAGCCACAACATTATTTTCGTTGCTACTTCGTAACTATAGAGCATATGTGTTTTCAGATGGTCTTAGGCGACCCATGGGAAAGGGTCGTGCGACCCCCAATGGGGTCACGACCCACGGGTTGAGAACCGCTGAATTAAAAGTTTTAAAATGTACAGAAACCTACCTGAGTGTGTTCATGACCAGCTTGCCCCAGTATGGAAGTAAGCATTCCAAATTTGTCTCATTCGTCTCAGTTAACTGTCGAAGATATTTTTTTTTTTTTTTTAACAAGTATTTTTTACTTTCTGTATCATATTGCCTGCATACTATAATTAAGGTTTCTGAAGGGAAGCGGGGAGTGGATTTGGGCAAGGGAAAAGTTGCATAAACATTAAAAAAAACATAAATTTACCAGTTCAGGAAACAAATCAAAAAGGAAGTCTTCCATTTCTGCATGCCTGTTGGATTTGGAAGCGGTCAAGTAGGTCAGATGGGTGAGCCCGAGGTCGAGCAACAGGGTTTGTGGGGAAGTGTCCTTGACCTCACTTTTCCTCTTTGTACGGCTGCCATGGCTAAATTTCGCAGACACTTTCAAAACTTTAAAATGGGGCATCACGTTAGGAGTGTTTGGCTTGGCAATAGCCATCTTCATTGCTTCAGTCAACAACTTCTGGAAGTTCTCATCTGGAAATTTTAATTAAAAAATTGTGTACAAATTAAACAACACCTAAAATCAAAGTATAAATCCTTTATAAAATTTAATATTGAGCAATGGAGGTTGGGGCTGAAAATTTGACAAAACATGCATTCAACTAATCCCCTGTATAAGAATCACAATTAGTGCTCCACCCCCGCCCCAAGGCTCGCAAACGCACATTTTTTTCATGCCCCTGAACTGTATTAATATTCTAATGACCCACCTGCTTTTACACCGCAGATTTATTTCAACAACTATTTCATAAAAACAAAAGAAAATATTACACACTATTACGCAATATTATTTTTTTTAAAGAATCTCATTTCGGGCAGTTATCAGGAATTTTATTACGCGAAATCAATGGCATCATATTTCCTTTATCTTCCCCTTTGAAAAACAGCAAAAACTGATTTTTGGGGTTGGGGTTTGGGGCTGAGAATTTGAAAGATTGTGTTGGTATCGGCAATGAGTCTATGTGCCAAGTTTCAGCTTGATAGGTTGACGGGAAGTGGGTCAATAAGCTGTCTGAAGATTTAGCCACCCAGCCAGAAACACACCAACAAAATCGAAGTTAACATAAAAATAAACATAAATGGCACATTCATTTTTTTAAAAAGCATTGATTTAAAAATAATTTCTGGGAATAGCAGAATTCCTCAAAAACTCACAATGGGAATGCCAAAGGTACCTTAAAAAATTATTTACATTATACAAACTGCCACAGAGAAGAAATAAAATGAATATTTCATTAATAAGCATGTTTTTCCATGGTACTTAAAAAACACATTGACAATGACAACGTTGAGGGCGTAATGTTATCAGAGGCTGTCTATGAAAGACCAAACAAAACTGACCTTTATCTGAGACCGCCAAGGACAATAACTCATACACCTCCAAAAGTTCATCATCACAGCTTGCAGGACTTTTCCCCTTGAGCTGAGCAACTGCAGCGTTCTTGAGAATCCCCACTGTTTCTGTGCAGCAGTCTGTGAAATAAGTATTCATCGTAAGACATCAACATTTTAAGATATCTTTTTCAGTCATGGATGTATTTATTTTAAGGGGAGAGTTGGCAAATAGATGTTCTCTTAAAATAAATCATAAAATTGGCATCAGTGGGGGGATGAGAAGCACCAATATTTTAAACTATAAACTCAATAAAACTCACCGGAAAACGTATTCCTAGCCTTCAAATAGCATTTGATCAAAGTCCACTTTCCTTTCTTGTAGGCTTTTTCCCCATGCTCCAACAGCCACTGGTCACACTGCAGGAAGCAGGCCCTGACTTTCTCAATGAGAACTGTAACAACTTCTTCCGCCAAAGAACCAGTCTTCAGTTTTAAAGGAAACTGAAAAATTGTGACAAACAAATTGGGCCTGAAGATCTTTACCATTTCTGGTAGATGTCCCATGGTGAAAATTACAAACTTCTGGAGGCTCTCATTTTTATAGTGCGGGAGAAGTTCAAACACTGGGGCAAAAGATGCTGCCAACTGCTTTGTGCTGGACTCCAATGAGAATGAAGTCTTTAGGGAAATGCAGCCTTTTGTAGAAAGTCCCTGACTCTCATGGGAACAAGCAGCTTGATTTTGACTGAAGCAAGTTTTAGGGTGTTCATTTGTCCACTGCTGCATCTGTGACTGATTGATGAAAGTCGGGTCATCTCTAACCAGCTGGACCCATCTGTTCAGAAGTTTGCACAGAATCTTTCCCAAAGGCTTTTCCCTGACAATGTCGCCACCACCTGAATCAGTGTCAATGAATGCAGAGTGCGGCAGCAGCAGGAGCTGGACGAGGCACTTGGATAGTCCCACTAGGTCAAAGAGTGAATATAAGCTTTTAATAATGGCTAAATAACTACTGTACAGCTTTGGGTGCAATTCATGACCATCTGTAAATATCCTATCCATAATGCAGCACAGGTACCTCTCAGCTATTTTTGTTTCTTTCACAAACCATGTGAAATTTTTGCACTTCTTCAGAACAGAGCACATAAAAGTTGATACAATGCAAGGAACCGCATACTCTGCTGCAGCATCCACTTTCTTCTTTGGTGATTTTTTCTGGGTGTTCTGCAGGATAACTCTGTTGAAAAGCTGTTCATTCAGTCCTTGATTTTCGAGCAAACACTTGACAGCATCTGCTGCACTTACTCCGCAGTTGCCAACACTGGAGAAAAGATCTGAAAAAACACTGCTTGTGTCCACACCTGCTTTAGCGTCGACTGATTTTGTGTGGGCCATTTCTTGGTTTGTTTCTTTGCTTAGGGTACTAAGAGAATGCACTTTTTTCAATTCTGGGGCATTAGTAATGGCCCCCGTGTCCCATTTTTCATCTTTACCAATGTGGTCAATCACAACTTCAGCAACATTCATGAGTTCTTGTAAGACCTGCTTGTATTGTGAATCCTGGAATTTGGAAAAATGAAAATGTTTATAACACCTTTATTCTTATAATACTTTTATTTTACTATCCCTCTTAAAAATGTATTTAATTATTATTATTTATTATCTTAATATGTACACAGCTTTTCATAAAAATGAAAGTTTAAAGTATGGACTTTATAATGTTACTATTTAAGTTGCAAATATTCACACTTTACAGCATATGAAGAAGTATGTTTCGTTACAAGGGTGGGCACCCAACGGGGCTCTTGTGTGGCTAAAACTTGGGCAAGAGTTGGTATTCTATTGACACAAAAGCACTAAACAAAAAACTAGCGTCAGAAATTGTCAGAATTACCTTGGCGGCCCACCTGGCAGTTTCCCCCATGTATAGCACCAACTGTTCAAGACTAATGATCCTGTCCCTGGCGGTCATCTCTGTGATGTCATTGGTCAGTTGTGCAAGTGTGTCGCTTCCCAGCTCCTGGTCAGATTTGCAGAAGAGGACACCCATAAGTGTGCTTGTGAATGAACCAAACATGCCTGGCTGTAGTGGGTCAAGTGCGACCATCCTGAAAGGCTGGGGAATATTTATACATGACCAAAGGTATTACAAACAGGAATGAGATTAAAAATGATAAAATTAAGTCACATAACTAACTAACTTACTTAAGAAAAACCGCAGACTATCGAGCCGGAGCTCATAAAGTCTTCCCCAGCGCCCTACCCCACCAACCCAACCCACCTTCAACCACTCCCCCAGTGGTCTTTATTCCGATTGGGCCCCGAAGCGGCACGCCGCGGGCATGCCGCCTCTAAGACAGCCCCACCCACCCTTCCACTCGATTGACTATGCGAGTGGGGCGGCATCAGAGAAGGAAAACCTGGCCGGCCGGGATGCTGCTCACAAAGCAACCAGGCCGGGGTTTCTAAGGGAATGGGGTGGATATGTTAACATCTCTAGGTCCCCCCCGCCCACCCCGGGGGGACGTGTAGATGGTTGGAAACAGACGCCCTCTAATAGGGATTACGTGGTGATCTGTGGTGTGACTAGTTCACACAACAGCTGGGAGTGAGAGAGTCACATAACAAATGGGAGGATGTCGTGATATTTGTGACTTAACCCAAAAAGATTTTATGGTGCTCATACATAAATAAATTAAAATACTATATTGTCAACAACTTTTCATAAAACTTGGGTACTACACCAATGATAAGAAATTACCTACGGTAACAAGCAAAGGAAAATAACTCCTTTTCAACCATAAGTTGAATACTTTAAAAATTTATTAAAAATCAATCTTTCATCCAGTCATAAAAAAATTACTGATAATTGTAGAGTAAATATGGAATTTTAATTAAAATAAGTCAACATTAGAACCAGTCACACCTAAATTATTGAATTTCAACTGAGCGCAATTGGTTGGACCAGTCCGACATATCAACATTGTCTTCAATTTCTGACCCATTGGGATATCAATATTTTGAACTAATTAAATATCAACATCACTTTTATTTCCCTTGCCTTATCTACTTATGCATCAAATTCATTATTTTTTACCCTGACAGCTGAGGTACTTGCAGTTAATCTACTGTCAACAAAGCACTATTTTTTTTTAAAAATTGAAAGAACCCAAACTAGACAACGCTTCCGGTTTATACAATGGCTCTTAGTAAATCCTTGATACATCTGACAAAAATGAAATAGCCATATTTGGCTTTTACATATTCTTAATGGTCATGGTTAGTAAATCAGCTGCAACCTGCATTGCACTGCTGTAAACTAAATTCATCATGTGAGACTCGCAAACCCCCCCCCCCCCCACTCATTTTATATATTCTTAATTGTCATGGTTAGTAAATCAGCTGCAACCTGCATTGCAATGCTGTAAACTAAATTCATCATGTGAGACTCGCAAACCCCCCCCCCCCACTCCACAATCATAACATTATTTAGAATGTTTTATTTTATTGTAAATTTTTTTTAAATGTTTGTAAATGTAACATTAACATGGCAGCATGATGAATGTCTTACCTTTCCTGACTGCCAGAATTGTACATATTTTCTAACACCATCAGGTAAAGCTGATTTGCTACATTGTACGACACGAGCCAGGCTGGCCGGGTCACTGATGGTGTGGACCATGCCCACTAATACTCTACTGATGTATTCAAGCTGGTTGGCGTCTCCTGTAGCAAGGAGGTGATTTGAATTCGATTTAGTTAAAAATTGAATGATTAACGAAAAATGAACCAAGTTACAAGAATTTACAACAAATACTATAATATATAATACTACTATCACAATAAGAAATATAAATTATAAATGAGTGGGGTGTGGGGGGGGGGGGTATAGCTTCTTATGAAGGTTTGAGCCTACAGTATTCCTCAAAAGTATTTTGGCATGTCCCACAGCTTAGTACACACTGTTGTGACCTATGGCCGCTACCAGTAATGGCAGGGGCGTAGGTGGCCAGGGGATCCCAGATTGTGCATCACACCCCCCTCCGACCACAGATGGCGTAAAAATGTTAAATCATTTTATAAAGCAGTAAAGCACAACAAGTACAGATAGTCAGTGTCCCATGTGCCGATAGTTCACTATGTGCATACAGTTCCGCATGTGGGATAGAGAGGCCGATTATCTAAACCAGAGAAGGGGGGGAGGGGTGGGGTTCGAATCCCAGAGGAATTAAAACTTTCTACTTTCAGGTCTAGAGTGAATCAATTTAATGTGGTGCTGGACCAAAGTATGTATTGTCTTTCTATTTTTTTTTTAAAATGAATTTCAGATCATTATTTCTGTCACAACAAGGGATTACTTATAAAAAAACATTACCTTCCTTGCTGTTTTCCAGACTGTCTAGTACCACTAATGTCAGTGGTGACAAAGGAAGATCTAGTCCTTTTTGTTCCTCACTTGGCTGAGATGGCAGTGACTTTTTCAACATATCATCTAGCTTCACATCCTCCATGAGAAGAATGGCTGAGATATGATGTATTTATTTTTTTAATTTATTATATTCATTATTAGCATTATATTTTTGATGATTATCCTTCTAATGTTTAATTCTTTTGTGAAGCAAATCATCTTTAAAAATTGTAGAGTCTTTAGCAATCATGCTAAAAAAATAATAGATTTTGAATTCAATCGCTAACACGCAATTGTTTTTTAACGTTGTAGTAAATATTGCCCCTTATTGAAGTCATAATTACCATCAATAGCATTCTTCTTGTTGCCCACAGTATTTTCCAAGTCCTTTCCATCTTCCTCCTCGAATCCACCTAAAATTTCCATCATCCTATCCACATAAGGAGTTGGGTTATTTATCAAGGTGGCTAAGGAACGAGCAAGGAACACTGCACAATTTGGCTGGGGTGGTTGAGACCCTGTCACCTTTAATCCCTGCCTCAGTGCAGCTTCCAGCCATATTTTCAGTTCTTTTCCATGTCCATAGAGCACTTCTACACTCTGTAACATCTAGGTACACAATTTTAATGAAATCTTTAGCTTTTTTAATCTATTATAACTGACTTAAATCATTTTTATTAATGACAACTCTAATAATTTTTTTTTATGCACTTTTTTTTTTTAAGTTTTTTTTTTTTTTTTTTAATTCACTAATTATACCCAAAAAGCAATGATTTTTATAATTGAACATTTTTTTTTTCAAAGGCAATAAGAAAAAAGGCATATTATATTAGCAATTAAAATAAAAGAAATTGTCATTTTGTGAGTTCTAATAAATCATTTCAGAGTTTTACGAGATAAAAATAAAGTTAATTTTTTTTTTATGTTATTTTTTTCAAAACTCACCTTAGAAATGAGGCTGATTATAAGATCTTTGGAATATCCACTTTGGCTGGCAGATGTTAGCAGCTTTTCAAGCAAGCCCTGAAAGCAAAAGTTAAATACAACCAGGGCGATATTAACACCAATGCAAGCCCTGGGCACGGCTGTGCGTTGGGGCCCCCACACCCCGGGATAGGGTGGGCANAAAAAAACATAATAATCATATATAAAACATGAAGATTTTCAGCTTTGAATATAGATAATATTTTTTTTTCACATAAACTGTAAAACTTTTGACATATTTTTATTTATTAGAATTATTGAAAGAGTTTTTATATATATATATATATATATATATATATATATATTTAAAAATCAGTATAATTTTAATTAAGTAACTTATTGAAAGAAGTAACACAAAGATTTAAATAGCCCAAAAAAAACATAGAAATTGAAACCAAATGGAAATTTTTAAAAATATTTTAATATTGTTTCGCCCCAAAAAATGAGTAAGTTCCGCCTTATTCTTTGATGTAGCAACAAGAGTCCCTCTTTAGTAAACCTTCATGGAGCTTTAGCGACTAGCAAGGATTTTTTAAATTGCAATTATTACCTCACGACCAAGTGAAATTTTCCTAGCGTCTGTTTCTGACAGCAACTTGAGCAAGTACAACTGTGGTAGCCATCGCGTGTCTTCATCAGTCTGCTCATCTTCCTCATCGCTGTCCTTTGCTTCTGTCTGAACTTCCATCTTTTCATCAGTGCTTTCACTCTCTCTCTGTTGGAGGTGACCCACCATTTCTATCAGCTTGGCCAAATCTTTTGGTCTGTCTGATATCAGGGTCGGAGACAGATTCTGGTACAGGCTCAAGACTTGTAGAATGGTCACAGTGTGCTCTGACAAGTCTGGGAAAATAATTGGTTTGTATTATTTTTCAATGTTTCCTATAACTGTTTTCAATAATAATGTCAGACCATAAAGCAAATTTTTAAAAATATAAAAAAAAGGCATGAAAAGAATTAATGTTATACTTCTTCTAATTATATTTTAAGTTTTAAGAACATATTTTATTATGCAGAGCTTTTGGCTTACCAGATATGTTGATCTGGGATTACGCTTTAATCAATTATAAATCATTTTTTTTTTTCAGGCAGACCTGGCATTAACAGGTAAATGAACATCATTTTAACAACAAAAGTCTCCAGATGATGGAATGCTAAAAACCAATGATCTAAGTAGAAGGAACTCTGTTCTTCCTGCTCTAAATATTGGGGTAATAAGGGGAGAGACTGCAATCAGGTTAGTACAAAATAAAATGAGTAAAACAGAGTATGGTTAAACCTGAAAAATTAAACGCAACAAGACAGCGAACGTGTCGGCAGAAAGCCTTCGTCAGCGAACAAAACAACAGAAAAAACGTTATAAAAATAAGAAATAGCACTTAGCTGGTAAGTAGTATCTGTATATTGAGTGTGCATTGATATTATTGAGATTTTCAAAAACACAAGTTTTATTTCTATGTTTAACTTAAATTATCTGTTGTTTCTTGTTTAGTATTGCCTGCAGCGGAAGGCTTCTAACCGAAACTTCCCCCTGACAGTCCTGTCTTTTCTTTGCAAGCCAAAACGTATTTTGCTCCACAATTTATTTCATAGAATTTTAAAACTTTACCTTTACCTTTTTTTTTTTTTTTTTTAAACAGTTTTTAAAATAAAACATGGTTAAAAAACAGAATCATGTGAACTTGAACCAAAAAATTTTATGCAAGCTTCCTTTATTAAGTATTAAGACCCAGCCACACCCACGTGCAGGAGTCACATGGTAAAAGGAACTGCAGTGTCTCTCGGATAAGCATTGCCTTACCCACATCTTGTTCCTCTTGTTTCTTCTCTCCTTGCGACAATTTCTGTGAGACTCTATCCACACACATGAAGATCTGAGTGACTTGGGGAAGCGTCTGAATTGAATGAAGAAAACACCTTACGGTTTCTAACGGGTGCAGAGATAAAATGTTAAAATAAGATTATAGCATAAAGTAAGGGTAAACTAAATAGTGGTTTTTTTTTTGGTGTGGAAATGACTGTCGATGCAAGGATTTGTACACTCAGCAGCTGATGCACAGTGTGGTCAGTTATATCCCAACAAAAGTCACTTCTAAACAAACAAGGCAAATAACACTGGAGGGGCATAAACTAGTGCACAGGCTGAAAGTATCTGTAGCGACATGAGGTTAGTGTTGGAAATGTTGAATGTGGCACAAGCTGAATGTATCTTTAGAAACACGAGGTTAGTGTTGGAAATGTTAACTGTGGCACAAGCTGAATGTATGGACTGTGGCACAAGCTGAATGTATGGACTGTGGCACAAGCTGAATATATCTGTAGAAACATGAGGTTAGTTTTGGAAATGTTGACTGTGGCAGGCATCAAGAAGTGGTTTCTTGAAATAAAATGAAATTGAAAAAGTTGGTTGTTCTGTTTTGTTGGTTTTTTTTTCATCTCAGTAACGTGATACTAACCTTGAGAACGTTAGTGGTGAATACATCCAGGAGACTTTCTTCAGCCAAACTTGTATTCACATTTGATTTGGCTAATTGCTGGTGTATGCTGGAAGCCTTCATGGCTAGAACTCTGACTAGCTGTAAGCTTTTGTGGCGTACTTGTACATCTTCATGCTATGAAAGAAAAAAATAGTATGGGTCTTTCTTATTGTTACATAAATATAAATAACTGATTACACTGACTCTTAAAACAGGTAGCGTTGACTCATAAACCATAGCAGCCATCAAATAACAAAATGTATTGAGGGGGTGGTTAGTGGATGTTTACAGGCACCGAGAAAAAAAATTGCAAATCAATATAAATGACATAAATTTTTTGAGCACTCTATTTTTAAACTAAAAATAACCTGACCTCGTTTGGCTGTATGCATTTCAGTTGATGAAAAACATATGTGTTAAAAGTATAAGATTGATAGTTTTAAAGACTTTTTTTGAGGGAAATAACAAATATCAGGTCGATTTCACATAATTAGACTACTAAAAATTGTACTCCCAAAAAAAAACTTTTTTTACAATTCAAATTAATTAAAAAACTGTGCCCTATGGAAACGAAGGAACTTTTAAAAAAAATTATGAAATATTTGTATGCATCAAGTTTAAGTTTACAGCGTACTCTTCAACTCATACCTTCAAACTCTGGACAATAATGGCTGCAATCTTCGGTGGTGGTAAACAAAATACAGTTGCCATGGAAACGACACTGTGAACATCGCCTGATGTGTTGACCTGAACTGTTTCTGCAAGTGTACTGTACAGCTTCAAGAATGACATGGAAGATTTGGTTAGCCAGTGAGAAAATTCACATTAAAAAAAAATACTTAACATTGTGAAAGCGAAAAGATTAATGAATTCAAGCGCCTTCAAATTCATACAAAATGTTAACATTTAGTTAAGGATCTCTGTTATTTAATAATCCCATTCATTTTTAACTCTACTGTCTGCAACAGAAACTGTTTTCAACCTACTTTAACCAGCCAGTCCATGAGACTGCCCCATTTCTCTGACCATCGGGGAGCAAGAAATGGACATAAGATGTTGAGAACAGACTTGATTTGGTCAGGACACGCACACAGGATGCTTATAATCAGGTCACATATGCGAAGATCATCCATCTTCTTGACCAGCAACACTAAAAAATGACTCAGCAACTGATTTTGATTCCTATAAAAAAATATTTTCTGATTAAGAAACAAAATTCTATCTATAAATGACTTTTATATTTCCACCCCACTCATTAAGTCAGGGGTTGGTCACCATTTTTTGAATGTGCAGCCATTTTTATAAATTATTTCTAAAAAGAAATGTTTCAGGTTTTAATACCAAAAAAAAAAAAAAAAAAGACCCACATCTATTCCTTCAAAGAGTCATATGTTAATGCCACAGCTTTCTGACTACTGGACTATGTGAAGAATGGAATTATATCCAGTAACTTTTATATTTCCACCCCACTCATTAAGTCAGGGGTTGTTCACCATTTTTTGAATGTGCAGCCATTTTTATAAATTATTTATAAAAAAAAATGTTTCAGGTTTTAAAAACAAAAAAAAAAAAAAAAAAGACCCACATCTATTCCTTCAAAGAGTCATATGTTAATGCCACAGCTTTCTGACTACTGGACTATGTGAAGAATGGAATTATATCCAGTATTATTTTTACTTTTTTTATTCAAAATGACTTGTGCTTTGGGATATGTGAAATTTCAAAATTTACAGCAGAGGGTAATTAGAAGATTACATTTATAATCATTTTATGATATTTCCTTCACTTAAATATATAAATATAAATAGACACTAGAAGTCTTATATATATCTATAAATATATAAATATACATCTATAAATATATAAATATATATATATATACATATATATATATATACATATATATATATATATGATTTCTAGTGTTTCCGTGTGATTTGATTACCTGGTTCCAGTGCCCATTGTTTTGTCAAAGAAATTGAGGCCATGTTTATGAGAGCAGCACAGCTCTGTTAAGAAATCATGCACGACAATGGCAACCACTTCCTTGTCTTCACTGGTTTTCTCACTCGATAAATCCACCTTGAGACAAACAATCAAGACCATTTATTTGAGAAAGAGAGATTATTTATGGTTGACACATCTTAAATAATAATAATAATAATAATAAAGTTCATTTCAAAAACACGCTTCATCCTCAAAGGCTCGAAGCGCTGTACAAAGTCAACGAAATACAAATCTATAATTTACCACATTTAAAACTAACGCAACACTCCAAAAACTAATTACTAGCATACAATTGCAAAGTCTTTCTAGCCATGTCAACCCCAAGCAACACAGCCATTATGGATTAACTGGAAAATAAGGTTGACAATCATCCCAGAAGGTGTTTGCGAAATAAATGTGTCTTTAAATCTGTTTTAAAGGACTCCAGTGTCTGATTGTTTCTGAGATCGACAAACACGTGGTGTCGAGAGTTTGCCACTATCAGATGAGCGGAGCTCTCTAGTGGGTACATAAGGCGTAAGCAGCTCTTTCAGATAGGACGGTGCCAGGTCATGTAAGCAGCGGTAGCACAACGTTGCGATTTTATACTCTATCCGAGCACGCACCGGCAGCCAGTGCAGCTCTCTCAGAAGTGTTTTTTCATGGTCAAAATACAACACAAGACCTAACTTGTAAATTAGATGATTTATGACTTAGGTTTTGTTATACAGATGCTGAACTATACGACATTATAGCTCATCAGAAGAAAAAAAAAATTTAGTAATCAATAATCTTACCCCATCTTTATCTTGTCTCTTCTTGACCCCTGCTGTCCAGCCCCTGGGCCCCAGCCACTGGTACAGATCACAAAACTGCCTCAGGGTGACTTCAGAGAACAATTTAATTTTATCTGTTTTCGTGACGGCTTGACATTTCACCACCTGCATGCACAAAAATGGAATGTAATTTATTTTAACTGTCAGATTGTGTGTTAGCACAGGCAGACAATCCCAACTTGATGTGATGTTAAGAAATATAAGAGAACAAGTCTTAGTGTTAAGTGCTAGAACCAAATGTGGTTAATGAGGAATCAATGACTGTTATTTATAAGGTCTGTCAGTCTGCTTCCTTAACTTGCCAGTTGAAAAGACCACCATAACCATTGCAGCGTGGATCTGTGCTGAATTTATTAGTTATTTGTATCTAATTTTCTTTTTTTTTTTAAACTGTTCACCTTGTGCAAATGGTGACTAGGTGCTTGTGGACTCGCACCAGTCTACAGACCACAACTTATAGTAGATCTGGTATATTAATACAGCCATGAATCTTTCAAAGTAAATCAAAATTCTTTCAGACATTCATAGGTGTGAAAATCTCATTTAAAAATTACCTTATCCATTAATGTTGCCAATATGTCCACTACCATGTCTTTAGTATCATACTTCAGTCCTGCAATTGTCATCTGAAGGAAAGCTATAATATAATTTTAAAAAAAGTAATTTCTCAAACTGGGTGACACCAGTAATGGTTGATCTATAGCATAAGGTTCATTTCATATATGCACTCTATACTCAGCATTAATATATATTGTTTCATATGCACTCTACACTCAGCATTAATATATATTGTTGCATGTGCATTCTATACTCAGCATTAATATCTTAATTTCATATACACTCTACACTCAGCATCAATATCTTGCAATTTCCATAATGCCAAATCAACATGTTAAAACTATTCAATTCTGGCAATCACTTATAGAAGAAGTTTTAAGTCCAGGATTATTTAGTGGGCAAACAATTACACGGTCAGAACAACTTACTCCTCTGTTGCACCAAAGTGTTCACTACACTGTTGTCACTGTCCAGCAGGAAAGCTAAGGTCAACAGGACAACACAGCTCCTCACATCCTGTGGATCCTGAACAAACAATCAACACGACGGTTTTAATTATTCATAATTACTCTACAAAATATTTTTAAATACTTGTAATTTCAGTTATCCTACCCCAAATTACAGGAGAATTTATGAGGGCTGTAATTTGCAATGACATAAAAATATTCATTCTAAGGCGGTATTATGTCACTCCTGCTGTTCAAAGTTGTTGTTTTTTTTAAAATAATTTTCAATTCTTTTCAATACGCTTATACACTTGGCAAGAATCTCCCATCTTTATTTGTGCCACCATCTCCTTCCAACTAACTTTCTGCACTTAATTTTATTGCAGTGCGTGACATAGAACAAAAAAAATGATGGCATTAAAATTCATTTAACACAAATTAACACAGTTCACGGCAATGAAATTCAAATGAAATCGCTTGTAATCAAACAACATTTTTAAAGTGTACTTTAAATCATTGACGTATCACCAACACAACAAATAGCGGTTAACACAATTATTTTGTCTCGCCTAACCCCAAACTAAACGACGTCAAATATAGGATGATCAAATTTCCTCAAAGATACATATGTAGCAATACATATTTTTTTCCCCTCATTATTGTCCAGATAAAAAAAAATATGTAATGATATTTTCTTCTTCCTTGATATATTCAATTTCAAAATTGAATTCCTGTTGGATTATTGCCCATGTGGTTACTCTGGCATTACGAAAGTTAGCTGTATGTGGTAAATTACAGAAACTACAACTGTCGCCTGGAATTATTTTCCATTAATATAAAAGAGGCCAACAAATAGTCATATGTTAGTGCATAGCCGGTTTAGGTTTTCTATTTCTGACTCTGATTCTATTTGTAATAAACATAAAAAGGTTATAGAAAAAAAGAATTAATATAGCCTTTAGACATTGATTTTCTCTGAAAATTATTTTTAAAGTTTAATAATTTTCTTAACTTAAAAAACTTTACCTTTCTGTTTCTCCGTCGGAATAATGATGGAAAATTTTGGTGCCCAAAATTGAGTCGAATAAGAACAGCCTTCTTTGATTTATCACTAAGCAAAACCATTGCTATAAGGAGCTTTAGGGCTGCCTTGATGGTTTTAGACCTGTGGATGAATAATTTACAATGAGCCACTTACACGCACATATTACAACAAATAACGAATATTTTTAGAAAGTTCCCCCATGCTTTAACTGGGTTGTGATTTAATACTCTTGCCTTTTCAAATAAAAAACACAATAATTTCAAGGTTACATGCTAATAATTACTGGTACAGCAAATCTTGAGATCTATTTGGTCAAAACTAGGAACCTTTTAAACAAGGGTCTACGAGCAAAAAAAACAATTTATTCTTAAAGCCACAAAAAATGCCATAAACTTAACTTTTTAAAATTGCATGCGTCGCATAGTTTTACCTGAGCAGGTGGTTTTTATCTACAAAAGATGAGTTAGCATTTATCCCTACCTTGGGGGGGCGCCGCGACAAGAAATGGGGTTTTTCAAATTACAGGCATGAGGGTCACAAGGAAAAGGTTTTTTTACATTACGGCTATGGCGGTCACAAGGAAAAGGGTTTTATCAGTCAACTCATAAAAGCCCATTTTCAAAAGATATGCCAGTGCCATTCTCATTACACAGGAGATAGCCAAAATGACCTACCATGGATCAATTTACACCCCCTACATCCACTGAGCAAAACTGTGTGGAATTTGGTTCAATAAAAAATATACCATTAAATTAGTGCAAAATAGTTCCAAAGACCCAATCACCTTTAAAATTGAAAAATTAAGGATGTATCATATTCAATACTTTAAAACAGTGGTGGGCAAACTTGTGTAGCTGCGAACCAGATTCAAGAGGTAACAGAGGCATGGAGAAATGAATTGGGGGAGGGGAGGGAATTTATTATTTCACCAGCAAAGTGAACCAACCCCATATAGTAGTTATGACATCTTCAATCCAAAATTTAAATTAAATTACTTGTTCATTTTTTTTTTTAAGGAAGTGCAAGCCATCAAAACGGAGGTGCAAGCCACAATTGGCTCGCAAGTGACAATTTGCCCCACCACTGCTTTAAAACAATACAGCTATAAGCATCACAAAAATGATGACATCCTTTAAGGATTTTAAAATATCTTTTTACTAAATAGCCCCCACATAAACACATACTTATTTTGATCCCTAAGGCAATTATAAAGTTGACCCATGTGTGCTGCTAAAATCTTTTGGACAATTGCTTCACCAGTGGATGAGAACTTGACGAGGTCATTGCGGATACGTGTTAATATTTGTTCAAGGCATTGAAAGACAAAGCCAATCTGAAACAAAAGGAGAGATTAGAAATCAGCTTTTTAACGAATGAAGGAAATTTAAGAAATGGCTTTGTTCAGTACCGGGTAAAAAAAAAATATGCTTTTTTAATTTGATAATATTCCGGACTTAAGAACTTTTAAAACTTTAGCTCTTTAACATGACATTTTGATACAAATAGATTGGGGAAACTGATCAGCTAAGATTAGCATTTCAATGATTGTATGTCATAACTGACATTTTCATATTACTAATTCATATTGCAATGCAAGCCAAAATTTTACTACACACAATCTTTTTTTTTTATTATTTCCGTTGACATTAAAACAAATTTCCATTACATACATCATTTATTTTGAGCACGGTGTTGGTGGGATCAATCAAGGTCCACAGCTCTGCACATGACGGTGAACTACGGCAATATCCAGCAACTATATCTTGACATGGGACGCCATCATTGTAAGCTTCAGCTGTTGCTGTGAACTTTGTTAAACCTGCAAAGGTGATCAGTATTTTTATAAACAAGTCTATCAAAATTAGTCGGTGAAGGTGCAAGTGAACTAAAATAGTTCACACATTTAAAACTAGGAACAGTTTAAACTTTAATTCTTGCTTATGAGTAGAAGGAAATTTAAAAATTACTCTCTGCATTTTATTAAATAAACATCATACTTCTTATAACATTTGCTTAAAAAAATGTTGTTTCTTTGCATTCGTTAAACTTCAAATGTAAATCTTGATCTGGGCCAAGCAACAGACTTTTGGCTCATATTTATGACCTGGATGTAACCTTTCTTTTTTCATCCTAAAATTGAAGATATGATAGTTTCTAAATACTGGGTTTAAATTATGTAAACTTTTAAAAAAATCACTTTCCACTTCTTAAAAAATAATCGATCGCAGACATAGTTTATTTAGTAGCCTGGAAAATAAATATAAATCACTAAATCGATCATTCCTTTAGATCAACTATTAAAACTACATGTAATATATGTGAAGACCTTTACTATTATAGTGTTCTCTAAAATAAAATTTTGGTTTTTCTTTGACTTATGGAAAAATGGGGCTGATTTATCAACTTCTATTCACTGTAGCTCTCTAAATGTGTCTTTAGTTTAAAGATATGAAGATTAAAAAAAAAAATTAAAGCCGCTAATTTAAGCTAAGAACTTTGCGATCTGATGGTTCCTATTTGAATGAAAATTGAATTTTACCTAGGCCTAATTTTTACAGTTTTCATTTTACAAAGGCAAAGGGAATTATAATAAATTTTATTTAGCCTATAAGATACTACTTATACTCTACAAATTAGGAAAATTAAATTAACTTTTTAGCTGTTGTCTGCTTTTTTAAAATGAGGTTTAGTAAACACAGCGTTAATTAGGTTCATATATTGAATATTGGCTATGCATATGAGGAGGTGGGGTGTTGAAACAGCTTTGATTGTATTAGGTTTAAAGTTGTAGTAAACAAAAAATCTTTTAAAAATCTCTAAAGCTCTTAATCTTAATCATTTTATGAATTATTGAAACAGGCCCACTGATACTTAATATTACTGATTGTGCCTACCCTTTCGCCTAAAAATGTTTTTATGTACAGAATGAAATAAATTCCAATTCCATCAATCAAATGGTTTTCTCATGGTACATACACTAGTACCTTTAGCAGAAACAGCAGTGTGGGGCAATGATGTTGAACTGGTGTCAAGCGGATGACATTTTTCTTCCATCATTCTTACTGACTTAGGGCTAGTCAAAAACTTTAAACCATAAAATTATTAATAATATCAGTTAAACAAAATTTAATGAGCGAAGTGGATGCGTACACCGCGGCGGTGTACCTAGCGAAACCATCGGCTTTGGCCTGCGTAAACCGCGGCGGTGTACCTAGTGAAATCGTGGGCTTTTGCCTGGGTACACCACGGCAAAAATTTACCATTGGCCTGGTTTTAAGATATTCTTTTAGAGAAGATCTTGTGTGGTCAAGTGGTAGAGTGGACGCTTGGCGATAATATAATTTGAGATCAATTCTCAGTAGGGATCGAGTTTTTTTCCTCTTATTTTAGTTTTAAAATATTTTGTAGCAATTTAAACAATTTAAATATATGTTTAAATATTATATTAAATACACTTTATATATTTATTTATATATATAAGTTTTTCAACAAGTTGTGTCGGCCTTTGACTTAGAAAATACCGGTAACTATGGTAATAAGACTTTAGACATTTGAAAACAAACTTAAAGTTTCTGAAAGCGCATGCAATACATGTATAGTGTATGTCAATGTAACATGAATAATAGAAACATTATGAATACTAAGTGACTGATATTCTATTGTATTTCAACATTCTTCATGTAGTTGAATATTTACATTTTACTTTTACGAACACCCAAAGAAAATACCAGTATGAATAATATTCTTACCATATGAATATTAATGTGCATGGTCGTATTTCAACCTTGAACCATCTTGCTTAACTATGCTTTATGCATTGGAAAAATGTACACACGATATCAAAGGTTCATTCACAACACTCAGTCTGCGTTTACCCTTTTCATGACGAAATTTGTTTCCAGAATGGCATGGCATGTGCTATTCTCAGGGTAAAACACGACGTTTTCCCACAGAAACCATTGCACAATGGGCTTGGGACAGGATTTGCACTATGTCAAAGTTTTTGTATTTGTTGTTGTTTTTTTTTGTTAAGAAATTGATACTTGCCGGGGAGTGGGGGGGTGGTGGTGAGTTATGGGCAGAGGCTTAACCAAAAAGGGGGCATTCACAAATCACGGCTCAGGATAGGGGTTGTCCACAAAGGACGTCCAACAATAAACTTACCTTTTGCACCCCCCCCCCCTCCGCCAGCATTTTTTACTAACGTGTAATGCCAATGTAAAACTAAATCAATGATATTTAATTATTGTTAAAAGGCTTTCAAACATCACTGCAGTGTTTCGTATTTATCATCTTACTGCTGTTTTGTGTTGACACATGCTTGGTATCACAATGACAATGCCTCGGACTACTTTAACTTCACGACTTCATGATCAATGTATGAGTATGTGATTCTCTTCCCATAGTGTATTTGTGTCATAATTATATCTTGGTGCTAACAAAATAGATTCACTGTCTTCCCATTCATTTTTACACCATGCCCCGAGGGATCACATATAATGTTATATTTATAATGCCTCCCCCCCCCAAAAAAAAACCAACAAACAACTGGGTGGGGGTGGGCATGGGAGAATAATTTCAAATTAAGACTCACAATCATATGATAAAACTTACAATTAATAAATATATTTGTATTTCAATATATTGGGGGAGGGGGGGAAAAAGTGCTTAACTTTAAAAATAAATCATGGTTTAACATTACACCCCCAGCCCCCTCCCTTCCAAAAAATAAGAAGAAATGCTTTACAAGTACTTTGCCACATAAGCGTGGAACTTACTCAATATCTTCCCAAGGTAATAAACGAATTTTAAATAAATAGTTTTCAGTTTTAACACGACTATAACATTAAATCTACAAGTACCGGTTAGGCCAAAAAGTTAAAGACTCGCAAAGACCATAGTTTTGCTACTTTAAATCGCTGCGGTGTATGCAGGCCACGGACCATGATTTAGCTAGGTACACCGCCGTGGTGTACGCAGGCCAAAGTCCAAAGTCAATAGTTTCGCTAGGTACACCGCCGCGGTGTACGTAGTGCCGGCCTTTAATGAGGCACTTTACCTAACCTTTGAATTTAATTCTAGCGAAAAGCTATGGATCAATCCAAATGGAAGGATCTAGACAATGTAGAGGAGCAGGCCAGGGCCCTATGCCTACATGAGCTACGGCTACATGGGCTGTGTAAACTGTGTAAGGGTAGCCCCACTCAGCCCACTGATGATCACAACAGATGATAGTTTCACAGCAGTAAGCTTGGCATGTTAGGTCTGAATAGTTCACTGCAATATTTGATTTACTAGAGTGTGTTCCAAGTTTATGTAGGCCTAGGAGCCCTGGCCTAAGGCAGGGTAATTCCTAATTTAATAAATTTTTTATCAACCTGGCTGCCAGACCAAAAAATGCCCCAAACCAGGACCTACCATCCGAAACTGTTTTTTGATCGCGCAGAAGAAATTTAAACTCAAGTTCAGAAATAGCAGTTGTTGGTTCTTCTGATTCTTTATTTTTCTTGGCATCAACAACATCGGGTAGATCAACTATGTCAGTTGCAATAGAACTGCGCTTGCGAGATTTGGTAGACATTGTTCTAATCAAATCAAACTTTCTCCTTTCGTTTTCGATTCTTTCAATCCATGCGTTTCCGGTTGTTGTAAAAAAAAATAACTCATGTCGCGATTAATAAAACTCTACTTGAACAATTAAATAAGATGTATAATAATTTGACAAGAACATTCAAGTAATAAACTAAACGTATTTTTATTTTGCGATATTTAATGATAAAAAATTAATCATTTATATTTCAGAAGGTTGCTAAGGCTTAGCGTCCTAGGACTATTCACACCGTAATGAGAAAACTTCCTGTTCTTTAAACATTTGGTCCTTCCATATTCAATTAATTTGTTATTATATAATTTGCATTGTTTTTAATCTGGTTACTTTAAGTCCAATCATAAATTGGTAAGTCAACCTAAAATTATTATTCTTAAGTTTCTAATTTTCCAAAATAAGTCTATCTATATTATTATTATAATTATTGTTGACACTCATTGCCTCGGTCTCAGTCTCAGCCTTCCACTATTTGATACCCTCGCTGAGTAGCCCTTGCAACCAGTGAAATATCCTCTTTGACACCAGACACAGAAACATTGCAAATACCCTCTACATATAATACTTCATACATAGGAGCCATAATGACTGTATGATCAATACATTGAATGATTGATCCTGAGCCCTTAATTTAAGAAGAAAAAGAACTACACAATGTCACAAAGACCAAAAGTAGTAGTAGGACAAAACAAGACTAAATTTAATTTATCATATTTCATACTGCAAGTACAAGTCTACAAATAAGTCAAAGTTACTACAATTTACAACTACCAACCAAAGTATGTTAAGCTCCTCCGCAGACACGCTTATTCTGTCTGTTCCCAAGACACACACTAAAACATATGGTGAATGATCTTTCTCTTTCTGTGCCCCAAAACAATGGAATTATTTGCCACTACACATTCCCAATATACTAACCATCTAGGCCTTCAAAACTGCATTCAAAACACATCTCTTTAAACTATACTACCCTGACTGAATCCCCTCCTCTGACAGATAAATGATGCTGCTAGCTGCCGTCCATGGTTTGCCTTGTAAAAGTTCTGGGGTGGGGTGGGTGAATAAACATTTGTTTTTTTGTTGTTTTTTTATACACTGTTCTTTATTTCATAAATGTATTTTATTTCAATGTCAAAAGTATGTCTCTTTTGCTAATATTTTTATGTAAAGCTGTTCTTTATTTCATAAATGTATTTTATTTTAATGTCAAAAGTAGGCCTATGTCTCTTTTGCTAATATTTTTATGTAAAGCGCGGTGAGCCCAGTCCTAGGCTGGGGTAATAATAATAAGTACAAGTACATTTTACTGAATATGAATAGAATTATTAGAATGGTCAATGATCAAAATTAAAACTTAAACGGCGAAATGATAATTAATTTCTACCCTACAAGCGGCAACACACTCACAATTGTTATAATTATAATTTAAAATATGTGATTGTTTTACTCTACACTTTTACTTTGTTGTTTCAATATAAATTTTATTTTTATCAACATTTTTTAATGGTTTATGTACTGAAACAGATCTGAAATATGGATGAACTATCCTGTGAAAAAAAGAAAGAAGTAAAATGGCCAGATGCATCAGAATATACAGATAAATACATAAAACCATCAGAAATGCCTTCAAAACCTGATCCGTGAGTTTGTATCAGAGTAAATATTTATTCTTACTTTAATTTGAAGGGACTTATTTTTTTATTTAAACTTAAGTTACATTAGTATTATGCTATTAAAATAATCACATTTGGCTTATGAAACTAATTAATTGCTGTTTGTTCTATATTGAATTAAAGTATGATGTTAATAGTGTGTGTTTGTAACTTTGTTTATGAATTTTTTTTTAAATGTAAAACAAGTAAAAATTATAACTACTTTAATTTTTCTTGTTATTTAGATGGATGAATGGTGCCACAGAGAGACAGATTGACATGCTTTCAGGAAGGCCAAGAACTCCAAATGATCAGTATACAGTTATGACTGAATTACAGATAAAAAATTTGCAAAAGGTGAAATATCTAGCATTACTGAGTAATGATTGCTCTAATGTTCAGACATGCCAACCTCGCAGTTTACATGTACTTTGTAAGACTTTTACATAATTCCTGAGGTGTTTGGCAGTACAGGCTTTTATATGGGTGCTGGGTGGCCGAGCGGTCTAAACTGTCTCAAACCAAATAGCAGTGGCGCCAGTGGTCCGGAGTTCAATCCCCATTAAAGCCAACATCCCTAGCACCCCGGGTGGATGGGACTCGCTAGCCTTGGACGGCAACCCATCTAAGAGAAGGCAAACTCTGAATTAAAACCAGGAGCCATAATGATCAACAAATTGATCGTGGGCCCCTCAAATATAAGAAGAAGAAGATATGGTTTTTCACTGAAATTAAAAAAGAAATATTTTTGTGCTAGACTTGGGTTCAAAACTGGTGGTGCAATAATTTCAATGTTGGACAATAGGAAGCTTAAATCTCATTGGCCATATAAATTTAGAAACTGTGTCTGTTTCCATTGATACCATTCCTTAAGATTAAGACAGCGTTGCACAGTAGTAAATACTTTGATTAGTTACCATAATTCTGTTTGTTTAATTCATTACAAGAACTGGGATGTTAGAAAGTGCTCTTTTAATTTCTATTAAATAATTAAATTGTGTTTAACATTACTATCAATGACTAGCATAAATCATTATTCCTAACTGTCACTATGGCTTAATTTAAAATGTTAACGCTTTCTTAAACTAAAAGCGGGTGTGATCTTTTTGTTCTATAAGTTAACATTATTTAGAGCTGAAATCAGTTAGAATTGTAGACTATCTCTTATATATATTTTGCTTCTGGTGTGTCAGGTAAATAGTTTAAAATTTTTTCCTTAGAGTGAGGCGATTATTATATTAATCAATAAATAGCCATGGGTGTGGTGTAAGATTGTCTGTTGGAGTATTGTTTAAAGACTGACATGTAGGGTGTAGGAATGTCAGTTGGCCTGTTGTTATCAAAATACCCGGGCCAGGTGTAAAAAAAACTGCACAACAGCTAATGGCCAATATGCACAGATACTTGTTAACCTCTCCACGAGTCGTATAATAATTCCCAAGCTTTTACATTATTTCAGAATATAGAAAACTTATTATTAATTACACTCTGATACCAGCTTTTTTAACATGTATTCATAGTTAACTTGTGTGTCTTTCAGTATCAGAAAAAATAAAAGTGAGCAGAAAAGAGAGATGGGTATTTAAAGATTCTATAATTATTTTCTCCACTTCAGGATGCGACACCATTTTTTATGCATGAAGATCCTACAGCTTTGGCAAAGAAAAATACCATCATACTTCCTGCACCTAAAAACCGTTATGCTACTAGCACTAGTCAATATTTGTTTCGCGATACACCACCACGTTCCCTCCCACACTGTTGGATGGATGAGCAATGGCAGAGGAACCCCCCTGAACAGCATAACACATGTCGACTTGGTGCATCATTGCGATGGGGCCCATCTAAAACAGGTAGACTCACCAAAGCTTCAAAATACTGATGCCTAGTTGAAATTAGTCTTTGAACATTTATAATTTATAAATCAAGCAATTTATAAATTTTTTATTTTTTCCAAAATTAACTTGTCTCCTACATATTGAGTTTAACTTTAAACCTGCTGAAAATGACCAATATCTTCAAAAGATATGCTTTTTTAACCATTTCTTTGTTATCGATGGAAAATTTATCACATAAACAGTCGGTCATGTATTTTAAACATTCAATGATAACAGTCAAAAAAAATAAATGATGGTAAAATTTCCAGATTCTTTGAAAATTATGCATACATGTCATTCATAGGTTTAATCAACAAAACACACTAAACACACTTTCATTCCACAAGAAGTTATCAGGATTGGGTATTAGAATGTGTGTATTAAATTTAAAATGTGATACAAAAAATTGACCACAAATGAAAAAAAACAACAACAAAAAACGTTTCTTTCAAAGCCAAATCATTAGCATGCAGACCACATGCAGCAGTCAGAAAGGGCACACTTTAGGCAAAGATGGGAAGAGTTATGAATAAATAATTTCGTATTCATAAACATCTAAAAAAAATTATATAGAAAATATAAATTGCTTGTATTCTCTGCGTAATATACTGTTGTATATTCTCACCAGGTCAGAGGACTATTAGTCACTTTCACACTGAAGATGTGCACAGATATCTGAACATTGATGTATACAAAAGGCCTCCAACCAATCTCCCATCAATTGTGGTGATGAAATATGGCAGACCAAGTGAAGGCTATTACCAACAAAGAAATCCAAGTAAGATATGCTCCTGTCAGATAAACTTGTAAGAGATCTGAACATTTTTGTCACACTATAATATGCTCATAAAGAAAATCGACATTTATTATAAGTTGTCAAGGGTTTTATTTTAATCTTATTATGTGATCAGTTTTATACCTTATTTTACTTAAGCTTCAATGTAAGCCTTAATACAACATTCTTTAAATCATCAGATTTCAATACCTGGTTCGGCTCAACACACAGATTAAATGAGACCAATGTTTTAACCACAATCAGACCAAAAACATTTGCTGAGTATGATCAGTTTAGAACAATGGAGCAAAACTATCAGAAACACCAGGCAACCAAGTGGCCAGAGATTAGTGAATACACTGACAAGTATTTGTTGAGAAACAAACCTGAAGTTATTATTGACACGTAAGAGCTCAATTTCTTCATTATGAGTTTGCCGAACAGTGGTAGATTTAAAATAAGTTCAAACTAAAAAAAAAATTTTGATGTTTTTTTTATCTATAACAATGGCATCTTAAGTGATCATACCATAAATAACTTACAGTTATGTTCAAACTTAGTTCCCTTGTGCTTTATCAATAGATGCAAAAATCAAAATATTTAAATCAATGTAGCTTTGGAAATTCTATTGCTTTTAATTAACGACTTTTGTCTATAATAGTATAAATATTTATTTTTTTTTAAAACTTTATTTAAGGATTGATGCAAGAAAACAGCGTCATAGAGAACAGAAATTTCAGGAAGCCCAGGAAACTTTGTTGTCACAGGCAGTTGAAAATCAACAGATTAAAGACCTGGAAAGCAGGACACACGAACGTGAGCCTGTACCAGCATAAACTGTTTATGGCTTAGTTAAATATTTTTTTTATTTCTTTCAGGAAACAAATTACAGCAGGCTAGCATCAAGAAATCTATTCCTTGTGCATGTATATTTGTATGTTTAGATACAACAACATCTATAGTTTTTATTGCAATGCGCTCATCAGATGTGCCCAACATTTTAAAGAGCACATTGAATTGACTGGTGTATTAAATGCCCACAGTACATCACTAATATATGAATGCATTATCTGTTGATTTTGGACCAAAACTTTAAAGTCCACAAGGACTAATAGAAATCTATTACGTAATGGGCCAATCTGGACCTCTATGTCAGACTATTTCTTGGTCATGCAAGTCTTTCTTAAAGAAATTTTTGAGTGATGCCCTGATTAGATTCATCATTCATTTTATTTTAATTAAAATTTTAACTGTGATATTTTATTAATCAAACTAAATTTTCAATCGAAAACTGTGATTATCTTTTTCATTATTTTATAACTTCACTAAATTGTAATATAATATTATATATAATGATTTTTGTACCCTGTAGTATAAATATAATTTTTAGTACAATTTTGTTTCAAAACCATGTTTTTTTTAAAGAATGTTTTCTATACCATATATTTTTTTACTCAGTCACATATTATTTATGGCAAGCTGTGGTATAAGTAAGACTGAGGAGAAATTACATGTCAATTAGATGTATTTCTTTTAAATTAATTTAAGGCAATCAAAGGCAAGATAAATTGTTATTAATTCAAGCTAGTAAATAAATATTAGTCCTACTCTGTAAATTTAATTATTGACCCTAACTGAATGTATAAGCTACATCTAGCTCAAGAACCAACTGTACTTAAGATATAGATTAAATTTAATAGATTTATTTTTCCCTGCTCACATCCAGTTGTAATTTACAGTCAAAGTGAATTTGTTTATTGTAGTATGTAACCGAAATAATAAAATGAAAAAAAAACATCCCTATGCCTACCTTGAAAATAAATTTTATATTAAATAGAATTATTTCCAATAATTTCAATGCGTTTAATAATATTAAAAGTTTTGTGTTTTTTTGTAAATATACTTGTCTGAATAAGTGTAACAATCCATAAACCAGAACATAACTGAAAAATAATTGATTAACTGAAAATCAAGTGCTTAATGTTCATAATTTTATTGACAAATTGATACAGATTTTTTTTTCCAGTCAGAGAAATCACTTAATTGTTTATCACACAGTAATTGTTCTAAGTGTATTTCATTGAAATAGTTATTTTCTGTCTCAAAAATGCTTTAAGGTGATCCATAAAGGATATTTATAACAAGTATACATCAATTAAATTTCTTTTTCTTCAGGAAATTGTTAAGTACATCAGTCCAAGCACTATATATAAATAAAATTATCTGAAATTCTCACTGACAAAATCATTCAAACGAATAATTAACATATGTAATACTTTGAATTATTTATGCAACAATTTAATTATCATTGCACAAAATGCTCTGTCAAAAGGTTTATTTTTGTATCAACATAAGCTTTCAAATACAACACTAACAGCAAGAAAAATTAATCACCACACATTAGTTGATAACCACAATTCATTGTCCTTAAAATTGTTTTTATGATTGATTTATGACAAATGTTATTACAGGCAAACACTTATTTTGTGTCCATTTAAAAAAAGTATGGAATAGCATGAGAAACAAAATTGTACTTTGTACATGTGGAAAAATATTTTATTTCACTTTCAGTCATTTAAAGACTTATTTTTTTCCTTCTCAGGCAACATATTTTCATATGACCATTAAAGGCAAATTGATCATCAATAATTAGAAGCCTTTCATTTTACCTTCAAATAACTCTAAATTATCATTTATATTCTAACGTAGTTGAAAACAAACTAATCTACAGTTAAGAAAATTTCAGGGAAAACATTAAAAATGTTTGCTTAGGGAAAAACCAACAGTGCACTTTAAAAGTAAACATGCAACAATATAAGATACATAATCATTTAGGAAATATTTATCCATTGATAAATTTATAAACAATGTCACAAGCAAATTTATTAAAAATGTATCAGGTTTCTAAAAATGATGAGGACTAGAAAAAAAAAAGTTATTTCTTTTTTTACAAATTTTGTATAGTATATTTGTACAGGAAACAAATGACCAAATATAACTATTGTTTAAAGGATGATACAGGAAATTATAATGATAATAACCCCTTCGAGCCTGGCCTTTCAGAGATGAAATAATTTTCTATTAAAACCAGTTATCAAAATCAGAAGGGAAAAGTACAATACTTACATAGGTATATACAAATAAAATATGTTAAAATTTGAATGTTCTCCACATGCATTTTATATTTAAATAATCAAATCCCCCCAAAACTTCAGATATAGATCTCAGAAGAATGAATAGCATCAAAATTAAACATTTCTTTGTACACTTTAAAATTTTTCACCAGATGGCCAAAATAAGTGCAACCATACAGAAATTAACACATTCAAGCACACACACCTTGCAGTAATCACTCACATCATTCAGCCACACAGCTTGCAGTAATCCCACACACCATCCAATCAGACACATCATTTAAGCTGAGAGATAAAAATGTGTCCTTGCAGTCATATTTTGCATTCAGCCCACAGGATATGACACAACACTCCTTACACTATACACCATACTTTGACCAAAATCACAGGCAATCTTTACATGACTGTTGGTAAAATAGCATGAGTATAATACATGTATAATGTTGCTTTAATAATTTGTTCAAGAGAAACTTACAGTGGTAAATTACTAATACCGGAAGAAATTAAATTATCAAAATCAACTAAATAGTTACTGGTTAACATTTTAAAAACACCTTTTATTTCTCTTTATAAGAATCTAATTATAAATTTGAATTTTTGTTTTTACTTATCATCTTTGAGAAGAAAAAAAACCGTTCTGACGCTTTCCTAAAAATTGCAAAAAAACATAAGAGTTCATAGTGGCTTTAATTTCATATAATGATTTTTTTTTAAATATATACAAATGTAATCATTTCTACATATATTTAAACTTTATAAAAATTGTGCCCAACAATCTGATAACTGAAAATTAAGGAATAAATAATAAAAAGATTTATCAAGTGCTGTAATTATTGTTGATTAAAGATTTAATACAAAGCAGTCAATGCCTCTTTTCTTATTTGATTAAGAAAAAAGAAGGGAGCTACAATAAGATCAGAGCAGAAAAGTACTCCGATACATTATATTATAATATCTTTTATTCCACATTCCTTAAAATTACAGTGGAACTCATTTAATGTTCCTTTAAAAAATACAGTGGAGTTCATTTAAATTTGATGGGGAAAAAAACACTAAAACTTTTTTTTAAAATTAGCAATTAAGAGTATTTGGCCAACTACAATCGCTAGTAATTAATACTGATCTTAAAAGTTAAAGCTTCAAAATACATAATTTTTTAGCCAATGCAGATTGGACATGTAGAATTTAAATGTTTTACTGAAGGTGAATTGCCACCATTATTTTATAATTTATTTTTTTTTTTTACTTTCCCCTATGGTTACCTGAATGGATATATAAGAAATTCATTAAATTTTACCCTGTGGGTTTTATTAAATTGAAATGAACAGCTGTTTTTTTTGGGTTTTTTTTACACATTAAAATCAAGCTTATTTTTTAAAAAAATATACATATATATATATAAAATACAGCTCAAAAGACTAAATAAGATCATTTATCCTAAAGAAGTTCCACTGTATCAATGACCTGTATGTTCATAATATCAAGTAACAACAACGAACAACAATGTGATTTGATTGTATTTATAGTTGAACACAAGATAATGTGACTAGATTACTTCTTTTTTCTTTCTTCCTGACACCTAGGACAGTACCATTTGCCTTTGGGCTTTGTCTTTAGTTGAACACATGCAAAGTGAAACCATTCAATAGGACACTGAAAAAAAAATTTAAAAATTGTATCACTCAGACCAAATTTTAAAATTTTAAAGAACTTTGCAAACATTATTTTTTTTTTTATTTCGTCCTAAAAAATTATATGGCAATTACAAATCATATTGTCACTATATCTATAATTAATAACTCCCTAAACATGTAAGTAAGTACACATTTGTTAAAATTGAGGGCATCCAAAAATCCTCCATAAATATCTATATAACATTGAATAAAGAGAAAATGCATTGTCTGTCACATCATAAACTATTTCAACTCTTCGTGTTTGAAGTTTATTTATTTTAATGCCTGTTGTAAAATTTGAAGAAGAAAAAAATGAACTAAAAGAGATACAGTAAAAAACACAGCAGTTCAATTTCAAAATGTTAAAATGTACTTACATCTAGGTTGTCACAGCCAATCATTTCACCATAAGAAACCTGGTTACACAAGCAATACGTTGGCTCGTTGGGGTCAACAGGCATGTCTAAGACATCAGAGGGATGAGTCGTCAAGGGGAATGGGCTGATAGCACTCATCTCGACCTCTTCTCTGAAATAAACATTCGGTCAGCCCTAAATTAATATATTCTCAGGAGAGTATGGGCTGAAATACTGAAACCCCAAACACAAAATTGAAAAGAAAACTGTGTGGTTATCAAAACAGATAATTAAGGTAGAAGGAACTTCAGAGGATTTATCAAGGAAAGTTTCATTTTCTAAAGTTTGTATGCTTCATATTGTCTCTTATTTGTCCTACCCTTTTTTAAAAAAAAAAAAAGAAAGGCCACATTCAAACAAAATTAAAATACACATTTAACATTACTAGAAAGCAAAGCATAGGACTGAGATCAATGGAAAAACACTTACTGACACCTATGCCTAAAAAAGGCAGAAGTAATTAAGTGATGTTAACATTATAAAATAGAGGACATAATGTAAGCTTAAAGGTATTGTCTATGCAAAATCCTCATTGTTCCCAAAGTTGCTCAATGTTTGGATAACAATAAAGTTTTAAAAAAATAAATGACAATGTATCTAAAAAAAAAAATTTAAACAAGATTAACAGGAAGACAAACAAATAATTTGACAGACCTTTTTAATCAGGGGAAAGAAACAAAATAGAGCAAGTATTTGCACATATTTCACTGTTATGGTGTTAAAAAAGGTTTAGTAAAGCTGTATCCAAAAAGTTTAATTGAATTGCGCATTTAATTAACAAAAATATATGAATGAGCTCCAGCTTTGTTAAGGAAAATGACCAGCACAGGGGCTGAGAGACAAAAAATTAAAACTTAACAATAGAGGAATTCAAATCATGATCAAATGCTTCAGAACCTTTCAAGCAACTCTTGCTGCTCTGTATCCTCAATTATTTGACACTTCTGAGATCACATTGGTCCAAATTACTAAAATGCGGACTAAAGATTCAACAATTCCACAGCCCAAAGCCAGATTTCATTTGCAATTTGAAAACCTTTTAAATACCACATGGTGACAGCCACCACTTTTAAAAAAAGCACAATTTTGAAACTACCAAAAAAAGCATTTTTGTTTCTTAAGTACCAATGCTTCTAAAACTTACTCGGCTTGTGCACCTTTCTTCTTCTTTTTCTTTGGGATCTCATCTTCGAACTCTTCTTTGTTACTTTTCCGCTTCTTTTTCTCTTTATCATTTTCTAATTGCAAAAAGGCATAAAAAATTGTATTATTACATGAAAAAAATTAAAATTTTGGTCATTCTTTTTGAAAATGATCAATCAACTGAAATGTGATAAAACCTTTGCAAAAATTATTATCATATCATCATCATTAACTTCTAATAATTAATCTCTATACAAGTTTTACTGCATCAATCTAATGCACATTTTCAATCAGCTGACAATATTAACTTAACTTCAATATTTCAGAAAAATTGCCACTATAAAATAAATAGATTTTAGTCTACCATCACAACAAAAAAAAAAAAAAAAAAAAAAAAATTTTATCTTAACCACAAAAAAAAAAAAAAAAAAAAAAAAAAAAGACTTACTCTTTTTACCAATGGCTTTGCCTTCAGGGGATTCCTTTTTACGCCCAGAACTTTTATCTTTTAAATCTGCTTCAAATCTGGCTAGTTCCGCATCTAGCTTTCGTATATGCTTGTCAACCTAAAAAATAAATAAATTAACAATGCAATCAAGTAATAGCAAGTTGGAACTTAGTCCTAAATTACAGTGGAGCATAATTTATATAGACTAATTAGGACCGGGGATAACCTAACATTTCCACAGAAAAGGTGAGTTAAAATTAGTGCATAGAATACATAACGTATTCTTAATTTATACGCATGAGATATGGTGCTTTATTGTACAGTGTATAGTCTATAGTAATTATAAAGGGTACATCAGAGTCAGCTGATTGATGTTAAAAAGAAGTCTTTTTCAAAATAAAAGACTGGCTCTTAGAATAAAATGCAAGGTCACAGGGGTGTATTTTGAGATATACATTAATTAACAAGTTTGCTGATCACATTTGCATTAATCCAATCTGTTCACTGCAAGCACAATACAATAACAATTTTTTTTAATGACACAGGAAGTTCGGATGATCAGTGTTTGGAAAATCAATGTTCTACTATATTGCTTAACAATTGAATGTTGATTTTTAAAACAACTGAATGAATAATTTGGGTTTAAGCAAAATAATATTGGTAACTACCCTACCTTACCATTTCATATGTTTGCATGGCCAATGAAACTTTGTCATCACCATACTCTCGACTTTTGCTGAACATCGACTCAATCTGATTTAGCTGATTGGTTCTCTTTTCGGGTGACATGTGACGGACTTTGTTCAGGTAATCCGTTGCTGCTTTGTCAATTTTTTTCATGAGATCTAAATATAGAACAACACTGAAAAGTTATGCATGCAGGGTCTATAACACTTAGTGAATCTCAACATTAATTCACCTCAGTAATTTAATGAACATGATACTTATGAATGATATTTAAACTAACCCAACACTTTGGGGGACTTTTAGCTGTCTATTTTATTTGGTTCCCCATGTATAAAAAAAACAATCTTAACTAATATTACTGTTTACCTTGAGATCTTTGATCCAAGTCTCTCATCAAGTTGAAATTCCTCTGCATTTCTGCTGGCAGAGATTCCAAGCCTGAAATTATTATTATTTTTAAATTTTGATTTTTTTTATTGAGTAACTCAAATGACTGGATACAAATAATTATTTTTAAACTTTTAAAACTGAAGTTGGGCCAATAATATCTATCAAATCAAAGAAAAAATTTAGATTTTATTTAATAGGCCTACCAGGAACAAAAACTTAAGTTTAATTAGTCAAGCAGGTTAACCTCAACTTTATTTCCTGACTAATGTTTAGTAGGCTTACTTTTGCTAGCAATCTATTCATAACTACCACTTTGGAGGGTTACATGAAGAAAAATGTACTGCATCTTATTTGCTGATAAGCCTATATGTACTTGTTTTTGTAACATTCTAGTAATGTATAATGGCCTAAATTTCAAAAGCTGGGATCATAAGCTTATATATTACTTATGCAAGGGTGTGGTCGCACTGGTCTCATTTTAAAAAGGATTAGTTGCAGCCTTCAGTTATTATAACCCTACATTTTTCCTTCTTTTTGGCTCATCGAATTCATGCAAAAGTTTGATGTTGCTTGGGGTAATTAAAATATACATGAAATAAGTAAGATAGAGATATTCATTTGGAGAGATCTTCCAGGAATCGTATTTCACCTGTATATTATATTTTGTGACAACCCATTAATCCAGAACATTCTATCCACTTGAAAATGTACAGAACATCGCACATGAGTTTGGAAAAATTGCACTTTACAGTAATTTCTTCTTTAAATGGGTTGTGTGATAGATCAGTTTAAAGAAAATTGGATGCTGTCCAATAATGTATTTTCAGATTTTTAATCAAGAATTTTGTTGGAAAAATTCATCAAGCTGAAATAAGGCAATTCTACTATTTACTTTCTGGTACATTCTCCATCATTCACAATTTTCATGATAACCCTTGTTTAAAGTATCCAATTATATACTAAAAGGGGCAAATACATTTTCCCCCCACTCTAGCCCTAACCCAACAATTTTATTTAAGTTTTAAAGCAATGACCACATGGGCATGGGTATGAAGACCAGATTTCCTCCAAGGATACCATTTTTCATTTAAGCTTGAAAATAAGAAAAAGCTTATGACGAAGGAGAGGCAGCTCTCTCATACAGTATCTGACCAGTTTTAATTGTAGTCACTTTATATTTTCTTATACTTATATGTCACATTATGTCTCAATTAACAGTAACAGTTGTCCCAAAATAATTCACACAAAAAAAAATCATACCTTTCTTTAAAATTTACCTACAATGCCTTAAACCATAAATTTTGTTTCAATCATAAGCCATTGGTGTTATCAAGTCTTGTCTAAATAACTCGGAGTGGAAACTGTAACTTCATTGTGAAAATTTTGTCCAAGTAGCTAGTATAGTACTACAGACTACAGCAGTAAAAGTGTAGTTGGCAGCATGGGCTTTGCCAAGAGAGTTGTCTCACCCTATGCGCAGTGATGTAACTTTGGGTAATCCCAACACTGAACTTAAGGGGCAAAGACCAATATTTGGACTTGGTCCTCAGTGATGTGTATGATAACTTTCCCATTCTTCACTGAAATTATTTGAGCTATAAAATCAAACTATTAATACCATTGCATTAATATGAAATATATTTAAAATGAAAATTTCCATGTCCATGACCATGCAATTTGTTTTGTTAAAATTCAATTTTCAAGGTTCAAAAGAAAATTTAAAAAAATGGGAACTTATCCTTGTTGATATCCCAAGGCCAAGTCCCAAGACTAACACCATAAAATATATGAGCGCACCATAATTTTTTTTTTTTTAATAATAATGCTGTCTTTTAATTGGTTGAAAAAAGAAGTGCCAGTATTAGTATTACGCCATGGTTGGTCATGGAAGGCATCGGACATCGCCGGCCCTGCCACTATCACCAACCGCACTTTTGCCACTACAGACTGCTAACACTAACATTGACTAACATAATCTAAATATAAATACAATTTTATAGTAAAATTGCTATTTATTAGAGAAAAAATATCAAAGTTTGACAAAAATGGGACTTAAAAAAAAGATAATTTCATTTAAAAGATGTGATCTCTAGGCAATCAAGTTTTGATTTAGTATTGCCATCCCATTTTCATTGAATGATGATGTAAACAAAAAGATGCTAATTTAACTAATGACTAATTATTAAAAAATAGATTAGAGGAAATAAAATGAGGAAATAAGTAAATAAGTTTAAATGAAATGAGGACTAAACAATTTTAAGACACGGTTAGTAAAAACAACGGTAACAACACAATACACAGAGTGCAAAATAGACCTAAAAAGCGCACTTATGAAACTTATAGCTATATCAGCAATAAAATAGTCTAAGCCTATCAGAACAGAACAGCAACATTTTTATTTTGGCTGCGCGCCAAAGTTGTTTTTTAATTATTTCCGTCCACGATCTACTGCTTTATTTGACATCACTTTACTATGATCATTTGTCACATTATATTGAAGTTATGTTTTAATATAAATGTAACTATGATTATTCAAAACTATATTTTGCATTATGAGGTCTAAAAGTAATGATTTATATTTAACTTACTATCCAAATAATGTTCTAAATACATAGCCTTCGCCATTTTTCCAGGGTTTCTTCCGGAACGGAGACAGGAAAATAGTAAAGAAAAAGAAACAAAAATTGTATCGCTCACGTGACCCTTGATTTTATTTTTTACCATTCGAAATATTACTGTCTCGGGAACTGTTTCCTTTTTTAATAAATGACATTTTTTTAATGGAAATTATTTTGCAATCAAATTTATTTTGCTTCTTTAACGATATACATCTACTTTTATTTAAGGTCTTTATTACATTTTCATTGCATGTGAATGTGCCCAAAAATAAAATAGGTTTTTCTCATTTTAATAATGATTAGGCCATTAGGCCTATATTACCTATATTTATATGAATGTTAATTATTGATATTAATAGTATTTAAAGTTAGGCCAATGTATGCATATCTCAACCAGTCGTCCTTCTTGAAATTCTTGTATTTATTTCAAATTATTTATTTTTTTACGTTTTAATTCTCTTCAGGACCACGTTGCCATGACGTTACTACGAAAAAAAAATGGAAATTTTGGTACACATCGTATGATATTAAATAATATTATGCGTCGTGCCGCCGTCAGTAGTGAAAACGCAATGTTCCCAATATCAAAAGGGACTTTTCAGGTGTTCATATGAGCAGTGGTGTAGTGAAACATTTTGCCACCCGGAACGGACTTTGAGTTGGCCCCCCCCCCCCAAAAAAAAAAACAACAAAAAACAAAAAAACAACAACAACAACAACCCCACTACACATTCACATAGCCCAAATATATATTGTGCTTACTTACAGAGTAAACCTGACCATAGCCGTCATAGCGAAGCTTGAAATAGCGCTTTCCCTCCCGCGGCATAGGCCAATGCACTAAATCGCTCCGGAACGCAACAGGTGCGAGGGAAGGAATGAGCCCCAGCCCCCATCATTTTTTTAAAAATAAATTCAAAATGTTTATACAAAATTCATTTTGGTGCATACCTGCATTAAGTTCTGCCTAAGTATAACTAAATCTAAGAGCATTAATAGAGAAATGCCATGATTTTTCTTTATAACTTTCCCTAAATAGTAATGATTTTGCCAATTTTGACAATTTAATTTAAGTTCAATTTCATTTTACTACTTTGAACCCACAATATTAACGGCAGTTCCAAAATTAATATTAGGCCTATATATTTGCGAATCGCAAGTTGGATACTACTTAAAGAGGAATAACTCTCAACAGGTTCTACTCATTCGAAAAAAAAATAAATAAGAATCTGTGCTCTAATAATCATGTTAGACTAAGATGTTAGTCTCAGGCGGTAATAAGTTAAATAACCCTAACAACGTGACTGCTCCGTACTCATTAGTGAAAGTAGTGGATATAAGCAGTGCTGTCTTAAGGCATGGGCGCACTTGCACCTCTTATTTCTTAGCTCTAGGTAGGGTGCCCTTGGGCGCCTTCCTTGGCCTCAGTTTCTAACTCTAGACCTAGGCAGTCTGGAGTAGGCTCTAGCTAGGGAACCTCACACTTCTAGGTCTAGGGGCATTATCATTCATTATTCTACCAGTATTATTAGTGAATATATAGATATACATTATGTTGCCACTAAGAAACATATTTGGGGGTAATAGCTAAAAAATCTCATCTCCCCTTTAAACTTTAATCAGCAGAGGTCCGAGGATTGTTTAATATGATTCCATAGATTTACCCATTATTTTTAGCGCTTTTATTATTCAAATACTATCTTTCTATAAAAAAACAACAAACATTTTACAAATTGTATTAGGTAGGCCTACTCACAACTCCAACTAAACTGTGGAGGGAGGAGAAGGAATTTTTTTTTTTTTTTCATATTTGAGGGCTCACCATCACAATGTATTGATCATTTTGGCTCCTGGTTTAAATTCAGAGTTAAACTTCTCTTAGATGAGTTGCCTTCCAAGGCTAACAAGTCCCATTAACCCGGGGTGCTTGGGATTTTGCTTTGGCGGGGATTGAACTCTAGAACACCTCTATTTGGAGTGAATCAGTATAGACTACTCAAACTCGGTCACACAATCAAGGCCATTAAAGGCTCCCAAGCCAAAGTGAGAACAGAGGCTAGGAGGGCACTGAGCCTCTCACCCAAAAAAGTTTGATGAATTCAAACTAAAAGGATTCATTTTCGTGCATACCAGAATTTAGTTTTGCATCAATCTGCAATTATTTGAAGAGCAACAGAGAAATGCTAGGAATTTATTTTTTATTTTTACTAAATAGTAATGTTGTTTTATAGTAATAATAATATTTATTTAAACTATAACTATTATATAACTATTAAACCAGTTAATTTGCTAAGAATTTTTCAATAGTAAATGAAATTGTTTTTAAGAGGTACCTTTGCATCCTACCAGCACTTATAACAAAAAAAGTATTTAATATATTTACTGCTTCCCAGGTGCGTCGCGTGAGTTGTGATGCCAAGTTATATTACGATCAGGGCCGAATTGAAGAAGGAACCATTTCCCCATTCTGGTTTGTTTTTTTTTAAAAATAATTGCAAACATTGAAGGGGTATTTGGTTCCATGTTTTATTTTGTCTTCTTTATTAGTACCACAATAACTATCTATGAACAGCTATTTGTCCATATGTTGACTGTAAACAAAGCCTCAAACTCCTTAATCTGACCATGCATCATGACAAACAAAAATTAGAGTGAAAACACATGATATTTTTATAGTTATAGTAAATCCACCACTGCGATCATGACTTTAAACAATATCATATCACAGTGGTGGATTTACTTTAAGACCAAATGAAACCATGTCTTTTGGGTAACAGACTGCAAGGGGCAGCATAAAAAAAAATCATTGAAATTATAATGAAAATATTATAGAGATTTATTGAACTTTTACTAATTAAAAAAAAATGTACTTACAATCATATGCATACAATATGCATTTAAAGTTAATTTCATAATATGGTTGCTTCTCCTGGGTCCTAATTTCTCATGGCTTTTAACTTCTAGGTTCTAATTTCTCCTAGCTTTTAAATTCTAGGTTCTAATTTCTCCAGGCTTTTAACTTCTCCTGGGTCCTAACTTCTGTAAGATATATTTCTAATTTTTTTTTTTTTTTTTTACTCATAATACATTTTAGCTGAATTTTTAGCACCTGACGAAGGTTAAAGCAAACTATTTGTTGTCAAAATTTAGGCCTATATTATTTCAGCTGTCACATTTAGCTTGTTTTTTTATGTCATCCTGTGTTTTGAAAAGGAAATATCTTTTGAATCACGCCTTTTGATATAACTTCTAGGTTCTAATTTCTCCTAGCTTTTAAATTCTAGGTTCTAATTTCTCCAGGCTTTTAACTTCTCCTGGGTCCTAACTTCTGTAAGATATATTTCTAATTTTTTTTTTTTTTTTTACTCATAATACATTTTAGCTGAATTTTTAGCACCTGACGAAGGTTAAAGCAAACTATTTGTTGTCAAAATGTAGGCCTATATTATTTCAGCTGTCACATTTAGCTTGTTTTTTCATGTCATCCTGTGTTATGAAAAGGAAATATCTTTAGAATCCCGCCTTTTGATGGCTATTGTTCTAAGTTAATAGCCTGTTGTTTTTTTTTATAATCCGCTTCTTTTGTTCCACCAAACATTTCTATTTAAATTGGTCAGTTAAATAAAAATTTAAAAACTTACATACACTGAATATATAGTCCCATTATCTCATAATAATGAGTAGTAAGTGATGGACAATTAAAATTATGCCTTTTGACTTTTAATACCTGAATTCTCTTTATTTTCATTGCACTTGGCAGAAAATGCCACTTACCCCAATATGGACAAATAAGTGCTGCCCGGGGCAGACCCGCCCCGCCTCCTCCCTTTCTACACCTCTAAATGTTCAGGAGCTTTAGATGGAAAGGATATTACTGTTATTTCTAATGAAAAGGCCTCCAGATTAAGATTGTAGTATTTTAATTATAATAATTATTTTTGCCTCTCTAGTTAATGCTGTTCGTAGCTTTTAAGTCCATAGAAATTTTGGTATAGTATGCTAGATAGAGACAAGAAGATGATGAGAAATCAAAGAAAGAAGATTGGGGCATTTAAGATGGCATTCTGGGATGGATTGACTTAGTTAGCAAGCAGGAAATATTTATAAAAAAATATATTTATTAATTTTTTTTCTTAAGTTTTCCCAAAACTAACAATTTCAATTACACTTGACAACACATTAAACTTTCACATTTCTTATTGGTAATGCATTTTAATTTGATATTGATTATATAATTTATATCATTATATATAATACTTATACACAATAAGTAAAAAGTAGGTCAAGAAATGTTTTCATAAAATATTTTGTTATTCACCTTCTTTAAAAAACAAGACATCTACACAAACCTTCAGAGCCCATCATCAGCATAGATCTTAAAATAGCCAGTTTTATTTTAACAAGTTTGTTGTGTGTCAGATCGTTGACATCTCTCACAAAAACTGTTAATGACTTTATCACTTGTATTATCACTAGATCACTCCGTTCATCTGATAATTGCAAACTCTGGATACCGCGAGTCCGACTTGAGACCTACGGAAGGTGCACTTTCGCTTTTGCCGTCCCAAGAATCTGGAACGCCCTTCCTGTCGCTCTCAGAAACAGCCAGACACTGCAGTCTTTCAAACTGACTTGAAAACACATCTTTTTCGCACTCACCTGCTGGGATTATGTAGTCTACCTCCTTGATTCTAGCTTGCTCATATTCTTTGATGTATATTGGGTTTGTATTGTCCATTGGCTTGTATGTAGATTTTGTATTGTTGCATTTTGTATTTTAATGTGGAAAAATAAAAATTGTCACATATGGTTGACTTTGCACTGCGCTTCGAGCCTTAATTAGGGATGAAGCATGTTTTTGAAATGAAATGTATAACTATTATTATTATTAAGATTTCACTAAATGTTAAATGATTTCAGTCTACAGCCCTCATCCTCGTTGGTTTATCTTGCAGGTCTGATACAAGACTAAACTCTCACTGGAGAGATTAAAGATGATGGAGTTGGAGAGCGAACCCCTTGTTTTGGAGAATGAACAGCAATGGCA